TGTTATGTGGAGGTTTCATTGTGAATCTCATTAAGTAACACAAGTGTTTTATGTTTGCTATTACACTATTTTACATATTGGTCAAAGACCTTAATAAAAGTTTTCATTTTCATGTGAAAATGAAAGTACATCATCTTTGAGTTCTCTGGTTTTACATATCAGGACATAGTAAAAACCATCTGGTCTTTAGCAGTTTTTTAAAAGTAGGTAAATACAATCTTATATGAACAACAATAGGTGACATATTACACCATAATCATCATCATTTTACAAAAAGAAAGCCAAAATGGAGAAGCCATGTGTGAAAAACTAAATACATCTTTACTCTTCCATAGATATGAAGAGGCTAAGTGGCAGCCAGATGCTGCTAATCAAGTACCTTTGATCAATTGATCATCAGCAAGTGGGACTACCTCTATAAAAGCTGAAATTTTAGGAGTTTGCTGGTCTCCAGCATTGAAATGTGGGTTAACACAATGCCAAAAAATAAAGAAATCATCAATGATCTTAGAGAAGTAACTGTTACTGCCCATCAATCTGGGAAAAGTTGTAAGCCCATTTACAACTTATTTAAAGTCATTGTCCTATAGCAGGGATGTCAAACTTGCGGTCTGCGGGCCGGATGCATCATGTGGTAGCCCCACCCCACCCACTTTAGCAAAGGGGAAAAAGTCCTGATATGTCATGTGACGATGCTGTGATGACGCAAGTTTTACACCCCTGTTCTACAGTGAGGATGATTATTCACAAGTGCAAAACATTCAAGACTGTTGCCAATCTTCCCAGGAATGGATGTCCCAGCAAATTAACCCCAAGGTTGGATCATGCAATGCTCAGAGAAATTGCAAAAAATCCAAGATTTACATCTCAGACTACATGCCTCAGTTAGCTTGTTAAATATTGAAGTTCATGACAGTGCAATTAGAAAAAGACTGAACAAGTATGGTTTGTTTGGAAGGATTGCCAGGAAAAAGCCTCTTCTCTCTAAAGAGAACATGGTTGCATATTTTATATTTGCAAAATTTCATCTGAACAATCCTCAAGACTTCTGGAACACTATCTTTTGGACAGATGAGACCAAAATGGAGATGTTTGGCCACAATGCACACAGTGCCACACACTTTGTGAAAACCCAATACAGCTTATCAGCACAAACATCTACCAATTGTCAAGCACAGTGGTGGAGGAGTGATGATTTGGGCTTGTTTTGCAACTACAGGACCTGGGCACCTTGCAGTCATTGAGTTGACCATGAACTCCTATTCTAGAGTCAAATGTGAGGCCATCTGTCTGATAGCTAAAGCTTGGCCGATATTGGCTCATGCAACAAGACAATGATTCCAAGCACACCAGTAAATCTACAACAGAGTGGCTGAAAAAGAAAAGCATCAAGATGTTGCAGTGGCCCAGTCAAAGTCCAGATCTCAACCTGATTGAAATGCTGTGAGAGAGAGAGCTGTGCATAAACAAATGCCCACAAACCTCAATAAAGTGAAGCAATGTTGTAAGGAAAAGTGGATCAAAATTCCTCCACAACGATGTGAAAGACTGATAAAATCATACAGAAAATGATTACTTCAAGTTAGTGCTGCCAAAAGTAGTTCTATTGAATCATAAGGAATACTTAGTTTTTCACATATGGCTTCTCCATTTTGGCTTTTTTTTTTTTTTGTAAAATATATGATGACATGGTGTAATATGTCACTTGTTGTTCACCTGAGGTTATATTTACCTACTTTTAAGAACTGCTAAGGACCAGATGAGGAAGTACTTTCATTTTCACATGACATTACACACATACACACACACACACACCTACATTATTTATATAGAGAAGAACACTTGATTTCACTTAGGAGTCAACATCAGAAAGTTGAGTTGGCTTACTTTTCTTTTATGAACCTGTAAAAATGCATGAGCTTTTTTTCTCTATTTCTTTGAATTTTGAAAGATCTTTTCCACAGAAATGTGCACACCTAAAATATATTTTCTTAGCATTGACAAAGAAAAGACATTCTGATTATTACTCTCACTCTCTTTAGAGCTACTGTCTTATTTTCATTTGCCTCTTGAATTCACATCAAAACGTTGCACTAGAAAGATTAAGTGTGTGGAACTATCAAGCATTATTGGCAGTTTTTACCACCAGGGACCTTTCTCTGCCACAGCAGAAGCTAACCAAACATATGTTTAAAGACTATTGTAGCATATTTGAATTACTGTTTGCTCTGGATAATTTAAGTAGTCAAAAGTAGAGAAAAGTGTCTTAGTGGCGGTTGTGTAACTAATGTTTTTGGGGTGAGAGGAACTTAAATCAGTAGCTTAGATTAATGCCTTCTTGAGAGTTGTGAAGATGTAAAGTATCTCCTAAGAGCTATATGCTAGAATGCTTTTCATCAGCTGAAATTAAACCCATTGACTGAAATCTGTTAGAAATCTGAATCTTTCTCTGAAATTCCCCAGGTGTTAAAGCTTAAAAAAAAAAGGTTAGCTGAGTTAAGGGGAGCCCACTGAAACTCTGTTGTGTATTTCTTATAATTTATTAATAAAGACAAAATCTGTATTGTATAGGTCTTTTGGTATTACTTGGGAATCTAAGTTTACATTGAACAATTTGGCATTAATTTTTAATCTAAGAATGCAATGTTTATAGTGCAGTGTTTAAAGTTTACTAAAAAGTTTTCTTCAGTGCTGAATATCTAAATACATGGTATTTTAATCTTGAAATTTTCAGTGTAGTTTCAGAATTTTTTCCTCTGTTGTTGTTTTATTCAACAATAAGGAAGGCAAAGAACGTTCAAACTATCACACCATTTCACTCATTTCACATGCTAGTAAAGTTATGCTCAAAATCCTACAAGCGAAGCTCCAGCAATATGTCAATCGAGAACTACCAGAAGTACAGGCAGAATTTCGAAGAGGAAGTGGAACTAGAGATCAAATTGATCATGGAGAAAGCTAGGGAGTTTCAGAAAAACATCTACTTCTACTTTATTGACTATGCTAAAGCCTTTGAATGTGTGGATCACAGCAAATTGTGGCAAGTTCTTAAAGAGATGGGAGTACCAGACCATCTGATTTGTCTCTTGAGAAACCTATATGCGGGTCAAGAAGCAACAGTGAAAATTGGACATGGAACCACTGATTGGTTCAAAATTGGGAAAGGAGTCCGGCAAAGCTGTATACTGTCACCCTGCCTATTTAATTTATATGCAGAGCATATCATGAGGAAGGCGGGGCTAGATGAATCACAAGTTGGAATTAAGATTGCCGGAAGAAATATCAACAACCTCAGATATGCAGATGATACCACTCTAATGGCAGAAAGTGAAGAGGAAATAAAGAGCCTCTTGATGCGGGGGAAGAAGGAGAATGCAAAAGTTGGCTTTAAAGTCAACATTAAGAAAACTAAAATCATGGCATCTGGCCCTCTCAATTCCTGGCAAATAGATGAGGAAGAAATGGAAGTAGTGACAGATTTTATTTTCCTGGGCTCCAGCCAAGAAATTAAAAGACACTTGCTCCTGGGGAGGAAAGCTATGGCAAATCTAGACAGCATACCAAAAAGCAGAGACATCAACCTACCAAAAAAAATGTGTATAGTCAAAGCTATGGTTTTCCGAGTTGCAATGTATGGCTGTGAAAGTTGGACCATAAGGAAGGCTGAGCGCCAAAGAATTGAGGCCTTTCACTATGGTGCTGGAGAATACTCCGGTGAGTCCCTTGGACTGCAAGGCAATCAAACTGATCAGTCCTAGAGGAGATCAACCCTGACTGCTCTTTAGAAGGCCAGATCCTGCAAATGAAACTCAAATACTTTGGCCACCTAATGAGAAGGAAGGACTCACTGGAGAAGAGCCTAATGCTGGGAAAGATTGAGGGCAAAAGAAGAAGGGGACGACAGAGAATGAGGTGACTGGATGGAGTCACTGAAGCAGTATGCGTGAGCTTAAATGGACTCCAGAGGATGGTAGAGGACAGGGAAGCCTGGAGGAAAATTGTCCGTGGGGTCACAATGGGTCGAACACAACTTTGCAACTAACAACAACAAAAGGGAGGCAACATTTTGATTTCTATTTATTTTCATTTTCAATAGCAAAGATAGGAAGCAAATGAGGTGCAGGCATACACTAGATTTCCTTCACCTTTGATCTTATTACAAAATAAAAGTTTCTAAATTGATTATGGAGTTGTCTCTCCTTTCTGATCCTCTCAAACTGCTTGGGCAAACAACTGTTATACACAAGCTAATGCCAGTGCTTAAAATGCATTTTGGATTGATATAGATGTGACTTATATAGACTCCAGTCTGAATGAATTCTCAAGAAATAGTTTTGCAAAAGGTAAACAGACAATTTATGTACATAAATTCACACATTCTCCAGTACAGTTGAATGACGGCACTTTTATTTTCTCTATTAAAGTTTGCTTTCATTTTCCTAAATAGGATTCAAATAAATGAAACAAAGAAAAGAAATAGGGAGCAAGAAATAAAGCTATTTACAAATAATCAGAAACAACAAAACTCAAAAAAGCATTAATTATTGCCGGGTCTGAGTTGATATTGTACTTTTTGAATCAGCTTAAAATATGTGTCAAAGAATACAAGTAAAAATGATTCTTTTCTCTAAGACATGTACAAATGTTTTCCTAAGGCCATGATGGTGAACCTATGTCCCCAGTTCAGCACCTCGCACGCATGCACAGGGGATGGGGCGTATGCGCAGGGACCATACGCACATTGCATTTTGGGGGTTCAGGCAGGTGGGCGCATGCACTTTGGGCACTCAGTCTGGAAAAGGTTAGCCATCACTGTCCTAAGATATTTGATAAATAACTTAGTTTAACATGTCAACACCTAATAACAATTTGTTGCTTATGCATGTACCAAAATAAAAGTGGATGGTGGGTTTTTTGTTTTGTTTTGTTTTAGATTTAAGACACTAACAGATTTAAGGGGTCTTAACTGAATGGAAGCGTTTCTTGTTGTACCTTTACAGAAACTACACAGATAGAAGATCCAAGAAAGCAGTGGCGACAAGAACAAGAAAAAATGTTAAAAGATTATCTTACTGTAGCTCAAGATGCACTTAGCACTAAGAAAGAACTTTTCCATGTGAAAGAACAGAGGCTGGCTCTTGCCTTGGGTGAATATGTACGGCTGAATGATGTTTACAAGGAAAAATCAAGCTCATATACAAGTCGTATGTATCAAAGACATATGTATGATATGTGAAATATACTATCCCTCTCTTTTCATGTTTTTTAAAAGATCTGGGTTATCTTCAAGAAACAATTGTGGCCAGCCGTAGTTAAACTATCCCAGTCCTGGGAGCTGCAGAAACTGATTTGGGAAGGGTAAATCAGAGGGTCCTTATATTCTAACCAGTTCAGTTTTACAGAGAATTTGAACATTTCTTTATCTGTATCAAATACATACAGGTAGTCCTCCAATTACAACCACAATTGGGCCCGTAATATTAGTCGTTGAGCAAAATGATCATTAAATGAGATGCTACATGACTGTTTTACTCAATGACTGTGTTCCCTGCTTTCCTAGTTGCAATTGTTAAGTGGAGTGCCTGAGCCTCCCACCATACCCAGGAAGCCTTCTGTCTCTTCCCAATGGTCTCAGCTCCATTGGGAAAAACAATCATAAAAATTATGGCATTCACTAGTGTTTTCACCAGATGTGAGGCCCATTCCTTCAGCACGCCAAGGGATTTCACCTCCACAATAAACCAAAGGGATACCAATAAACCTTTGGTACACTTGAAGAATGGACCTTCAAATCTGCAAAACTGTGAGCAAATGCCATCATTCTGAAAGGCTCAGAATGCTTGTGTTAGCTAGCATGTTTCCATCTGAAAGGACAGAAATCTGTTTATTGATTTATTATTTCTAAAATTTATTGGCTGCCCATCTTACCTCAAGGTAACTCTAGATAACTTACAATCATAAAAGATAAAAATTATAAAAACTAAAAATATAAATAAGTTAGTACAAAAAATCAAACACTGCGGCACAATTAAAAGATGAAGGTGGAAGCAGGATGGTGGGGAGGTGGTATCTGATGTTAATAAACCACATCCACTGTGGTGCTCACTGTTAGAGGCCCCAAGCTAACCGGTAGAGTCAGGTCTTTAGGCTCTTACAGAAGGTCAGGACAATTGGAGCCGACCTCACTTCAGGAGACAAGATGTTCCAGAGGGCAGGTGCAATGACAGAGAAGGCCCTTCTCCTCGACCCCACCAGCCAGAATAATTGAGCCGATGGGACTCACAGCATGCCTCCTCTGCCAGCACCGGTGGAATAGGCCAATCCCAGTGGGATGAGTTGGTCCCCCAAGTAGTCTGGACCCATACCATGAAGGGCTTTAAAGATGATTATCAACATCTAGATTTAGTCCTGATTTAGCACCATAATTCTAAACAAATGTCCATTCCTGTGCTATAAATAGCTCTTCTACTTGCAGAAGTAATTATTTATTCTGGTATTCTGAATTATTCTGCTAATGCCTTCCTATGAACAAACGAGTCTTCTGAAAATGAAGTTGGATGAAATGCATCAATGAGAGTTTATTGTTTGGTTATTGCTAAATTTGGAAAGATACACCTAAATTCAAGGCTACCTTCAGCTGTAGTTGTCACTGAATTAATCTGAGCCTATCTGTTAGTTCATCCTACTTCAAGGGTTGCTTTATGGGAATAAAAGTAGGTGCATGCACCACTAATAGCTCTTAGAGAAAATGAGTAAATAAAGGTAATAAACAAATAATGCTATTCAAATGATAAAAGTGAAAATACTTAGAATAATTGCTCCTTACATTTTGTAGTTTTCATTGTAATATAGTAACTAACCTTTTATTTTGCTTTCTATAACTGTTTTGAACTGCTGTTTTGAATATTTTAGGAAACTGAAACATAAAATGATCTCCCAAATGGTTCATTGTCTTTTCCCCCTTATTCCCCTAATAAGTTTTCTCCAGCTCCTCTTCCAGCACAAAGTATGATCCTGATATTCTGAAAGCAGAAATCTCCACTACAAGATTAAGGGTAAGGATGCTTTGAAATCTCCCAATAACTCAACTAAATTGTTTTCTAATAGTCTACACATACAAGCCTATATTTTTGTGGACATTTGTAGTGCTAATAATTTTTAAAGTAATATTTGCTTTAGGACTTGCTCATGATCAACATATGGAGATAAGTATTAAACCAAAGATATCTCCTTAAGGATTTATGTTTGAAATGAACATTGTCTAGTGTGCCCATTTGGAAATTTTTGTTCTTTTTATAGATTCTGTTTCCCTGCAAACTCCTTTCCTCTGCCCACACATTGATGCCTGTCAGGAGTCCTCCCCTGATCTTATTTGTGCTCTTTTTGTCTTAAGCTATCTCCCTATGGCTATATTGATGATAAATCCTCTTTTGAATAAGAATAGCTTCCTTAGACACACAGGCATTGACAAGTTAACTTAGCAAGTGAATATGAATTTCATGGTAAATGATGTTATCCAAATAAAGATACATCTTTTAATCCAGCATATCTCTCATACCAGATGCTTGTCATGAACATTAGGACAATAGAATTTCTTGGTGTTCAGCAAATGCTAACAATGGTTTATTTACATGAGGTCGTGGTGCTGACTTTATTGAAACACAAGTTATGCCAGCGTTCAGAGCCGAACAGTGGTACACATATATGAAGAATTATTTTCAGACTAATTAATTATTTATGAATAGTTAATTTTCACAATATTAGTAAGCATTAGCATATCCACAGTGGTAATGGTCCTTTTTTCTGTAGAAATGAATTCTGAACACTAATAGGCAAATCTAGAGACAGTGTTTATGTCTAATCTATGTATGTCTGCTGGAGAAAGCACTGACCTATAAAAGCATTTCTTTTGACCTGCTCATCATGTTTATTAGAACTTAATACGAACATTAGTTATATATGTAGCTATCTGGTTTGGAATTGCTGACTGTTAGCACCCTTGGTAAATGAGTTTGAATGTGATTGAAAATAGCAATCCAAAAAAATGCTGGACTAGTGATTGACTAAATATTTAAATCTTTGAGATAACGTGTTTTCCCGAAAATAAGACCCTGTTTTATATTTTTTTTGAACCCTGCAATAAGCACTTGGCCTTATTTTCGGGGAAGTCTTATTATTTTGGGGTGCGTGGAGCAATATGGGGCTCCTCTTGCCTGATTTCCAGCTCTGCGTTTAAATATTTTCGGGAGGGTTTATTTTTGGGGGGAGGCTTATTTTAGCGCATGTGCTCAAAAGCCTGATTGGGCTTATTATCAGGGGATGTCTTATTTTCGCGGAAACAGGGTAACTAGTATTTGAAGATACAATATGTTTAGTAAAATGTCTAAACCATAATGTACATATATAGTATGTGGAACAGGATTCAGAATAGTTCCCTCACAATTTTAGTACATACATCCAATCACCTGATATGTAGTTGTTGTTCTTGGGCCTCTTATTTTTTTTCTCCATGTTGAAACACAAAATAATTGTTTTTCTCATATTTAAAGGATTTCCTCCTTTTTCCATTTAGAGTCAGTGGTTGCTGTTAGTCTTCTCTTGTGTAAAAAAAATTCTGCAGAGAGAAGAATAGTCCTGAAGATTTAGTTAAGAAGGGTTGATTTATTCATTTGTATGATTTATAAAGCTAACTTCTCACAGCAGTGACACTGTGCAGTGTACAAAGATTAAAGCCACCATTACAGAATACAACCTTTCATTTCCTTTTTAAAACAAAAACCTTCAAAATAACAACAACAAAACTAGGGAGCTCACCTAGCCTCTTGGCCCAAACACCTGGGGAAACAGGTCTTACAAAAGAAGTATTACAAAAGAAGAACAGGATTGGGGCACCTATATCTTGGAAGGGAGAATGCTGTTTCACAGGGCAGGTGTAATCACAGAAAAGGAGTTAAAGCAGGGGTGTCCAACCTTGGCAACTTTAAGAGTTATGGACTTCAAATCCCAGAAGTCTAGGATTTGAAGTCCACAAGTCTTAAAATTGCTAAGATTGGACACCCCTGAGTTAAAAGGAAGAGCTTTCCTGCCCTATGATACCATCTATAGCTGTGGGCCATTTTAATATTATAAATCAGATGATGTTGAATCAAGTCAGCAGAAACTTGAAAGAAAAACATTTTTTCCACAGAATATCATGTGATAAAGTCAATTTCATGTGGTCTTACATGTATGGTGGTAGTATTTAAAAAGCAGGAACAAGGACAATTTGAGATACCAGGTATTATTTATTGTTCATGTTTAAAGGTGCTAATTATTCTGAACTATTTTACACTATCTTAAAAGCAATGTCTTAAACTTTTATTTTTACATACAAGGTTAAAAAACTGAAGAGGGAACTCTTGCAAATGAAGCAAGAATTATTATATAAGGAGCAAGGCTATGAAACATTGCAACAGTGAGTATAAGAAAATAATTGAAATTGACTTAAATAATTCATCCCATTGGTTAGAACTAAATCAAATAGAATAATTATTTCTCTTGAAATAGGTAAGAAAAATCTACAACCAATTTCCTATGGAAAATCTAAGCATCTTTAGAATGCCCTGTTATTAAGAAAGAAAAGTAGAAAGCTGTTTAAAAGGTGTAAAAAGTGAAAGAATTGAATAGGTCCCTGTCTGCCACTTGTGTGATGGAGAAAAGCAAAAAAAGCAGCAAAAAAGAGAAACAGTATTGCAGGCTGGTTATTTGGCACCATGCGCCCTTTAAGTATAATTAGACCTTTACTGAATATTTAACTGTCATGGAAAAGGACAAGCTTCAGTGAGAAGGTTGAAACAGAGGAAAGATGGGGCTGAAATAAATCAGAAATTGGAGAAATCCCATGTTCTTTTTGCTCCACTGATCTATGCATTCCCTAAGTGCCTGCTCACTCTACTTGTATTTGGCAAAGTTTAGACAAGCATAATACGAATATCTGTTTGAAGATTGCCCTGCCCAAAAAGAAAAGTCAATCATCTAAATTGGCTGGGTGGCAAATAAATAGCAGCTATATTAACTCTGATGGCATATTACAGAATACCCAGTGCTAAATAAATGTACTTAAAAGAAAGTTGAGCAGATTTCTTGCAAGTGTTCTTTTTTCATTTTTTTAAATGGTTAAGAATTTAAATCTTCCTATAATTCCTGTTACTATACCAAATGATCTTAAAATATGAAATTAAATAGAATTAAAGTTTAAGCAATTCACAGCCACAGACTTTTAAAATTTAAATGAGTGTTGGAGATAATAAAAAATGCTGGTATTTTTTTGTTCCCAGTTTGCTTTTTCTTTTAAAGCATATGTATACCTAAAGCTGTAGAATTTCTGCTTCTATTAAAATTAAAGTTAGTCCAACACACTGGTTGTGTTACATTAATGTAAAATGAAATGTTGTTTGAAAACCAACTTGCTTGCAAGTAATTTCATTAGGAAACCAAAGCAAATTTGGGAAACATTCAGCAGCGTACTACAAATAAACAATGAACATTTGTTATGAAAATTGTGGCTGTCAGTTTATGACTAATTCTATTTATTGAAAGCAGGGAGTCAGAATACATTTTATATTGGAAAGACCCTTTATTCATTTCTGCCATATCTGTTATAAAAGTAGTTGCAACTTAAAATGTAATACTTTGAAGCAATAGCAAGCAAAAACTGCAGCATGCTGGAAAAGCTCTGATTCATATCACTTGTTTTTATGTGCAGTTAATCCAGGTTGGATGATAATGTAACAAAAATCAAACATGATTAGGAAGTAAATATTCTGCTGTCAATAGCATATTTAAATAGAATCCAGGTGTAGATCATGCTTAACATAATCTTAAATTCTGGTTTAGTGTTACAAGCTTTGGACTAGTGTGTTTTCCCTTCTTTTCTCTAGTTTGGGATAGGTAAACTAATCTCCATCATATATGTCGTTTAACTGATAATATTTTAATCTCCTGTTTCTGCAACAAATAGTCATTTCTGTTTCCCGCATTACAGTGCAAAGGCTCTTTTCTTTAATGAAATTTAACAAATCAAATTATGTGGATAATTTTGCTCTAAGCTAATTCTTGAGTAATTATTTTTTTAATTGGAAGCCCATAATAAAGTCAAGAAAATATTTTATTTTCAATGCAAAAATCCTCTGTAAGAGTATAGGTAAACCCTTTCGAGTTTTAAACTTTGTAAATCTTTTCCTTGGAAAATATAACTTGGTAAAGTAAGAATGATAGATTATATTGGAAAAAAGAAAACCATGGCATTCCTTCTTATAGAAAAAGGACTAGCAGAGCCTGAGGGAAAAGTGAAAAGAGGGATCATCCTAAAATCACTACATAGCCACAAATGAACTACTTTCAACTCCCTTTGACTGATGTTGATTAACCCTCAGTCCTCAGCTAAACAGCCATACTAGTCATAGTGGATCTTTTTACAAAAATGGCTTACTTCATCCCTTGTAAAGGGTAGTTGCTTACTACCAAGGAAACAGCTCAGCTATTTTTGAATCACATCTATCGATATAGAGGCATGGTCTCCGGAGTAGTCTCCACTAGAGGAAGTCAACTTGCTTCCAGATTTTGGAGGGCACTGTTCCCACTTTTGAATGTTCATGTTATCTTGTCTTCAGCCCACCACTCTAGAATGAATGGCAAGGCAGAGAAAACAAACCAATTCTTGCAGCAATATTTAAGATGTTACTGCAGCTATAGCCAAGATAACTGGTCCTCATTACTGCTGTTGCCAGAATTTTCATATAATAACTGTCTCCACATATCAATTGCTCCCTTTCAAGCCTTGTATGACACACATCCTAGAGTTCTACCAGAGAACCCAAGGTAGGAAGAGTCCATCCCAGAGTTGTGGATTTTTGCAAGAGCTGCTGCACAAACACTGTTGAAACTGCAGCTAGAACAAGTTGAAGCAGTTGTACAAGAAGCCGGCAGACGTCCATTGACAGGAAGGGCGAGTGAGAGCTGAATAAGCCAAGTCTGGCTCTCTATCAATTTTTTTGTCTGAACAAAACCATCTAAGAAACTGAATGCTAAATTTCTGGGACCCTTCAAGGTCATCCAGCAGATCAGTCCTGAAGCATTTAATTTGCAGATACCACCATGAAAGTGGTATATCACAGATATCTCCATGAAAGTGCATCCAGTTTTTCACTGATCCTTGTTAGTCAAAGATAAACCCTCTAGCACCTTACGCTCCCAGCACCCACTCTCACCGTCTGTAATTGTGAAAGGATAAAAGGAATACCAAGTATAAGAAATCCAGGATTCTAGGCAAAGGGGCAAAAGCACACAGTATCTGATCCATTGGAAAAGGTACTCAGAATCTCAATGAACTGGGAGAATGCCAGGTATGTCTATGTCCCCCGACTTGATTCAGCAGTTTCACCATTTTCTGACCAAGCTGCTGGCTCCCCCATTTCACCATGTGAGGATTCTGTAGCTGAAAGCCTCAGTGGGCATATCCAGGGGGAAGCATAATGATGCCATGGAAGAAGGGGGAGACTATTTTTGAAGGGGAGGGTGATGTAGGAAAAGGAGTGACAGAACCAGGGGCAGGGGTTATGAATAAAGATATTTATTGTAATTTTTACAAATCAATCTTTTAAAATTCCAATTATTTTTTAAAATGTGTCTTTGGGAGTTAATGTTATAGATGTGGATGAATACTTTAAAATAATTGATCAGCAATATGTAAAACACTTCATAATTCTTTTTGCTTTCATTCTTTCAAGAAGATACGTTATACTAGATACTAAAGTCTAATCTACGCAGTAATACTAGCATTTAATTTTGGGAGGAGACCTTAGTTCAAGTTACTCAGTATGATTTAGTATTTTGTGGGAAGCAAGCCAGGAAATGATAAGTTTAAAAAATCCTATATTACTGTGTGTGTTATAAATTGGTCTAACAAATCAAAAATCACATTACGGAGGTTATAATCATTTCTAATTTCTTGTGCAATACTATGTTATTTCCTAGAAGCAAAATTCACTAGGATTAAAAAGGCTTTTTCCTAGGGAGGTACATATAAGAATGTAGCTTCAATTTCCAGGTGATTTGAAGCTTTGTGCTGTCAGTTTGCCAAAATCTCTATTCCCACTTTACAGTATCTATTTGTAGGGATAGAATTTGGAAAGATTAAAGTACTCTCTGATGCTCCTATATTTTGATTGAAAATAGTTGCTATTTATGGAAGGTAATATTATTAGAATTGCCTGTTTCTCTTTCCCTCAATCGGTTATTCTTCTAAATGCCAGGAACAACAGTTTTTTAAAGAGTTATTATCAATGTACTATTTTACAGAATTGACCAAAAAATGTCTGGAGGCCAGAATGGATATGAGTTAAGTGAAGCCAAAGCTATTATGAATGAATTGAAGTCTATCCAAAAAGCTATAAACTCTGGTGAAAAAGAAAAGCAAGATTTAATGAAGGTATTTTGATATCATTTTTGTTCAGCATTTGTAGTGGTGGTCTTTTGGGAATAAGGGTGCATTAGGCCCTAATAGCCATCATAATAAGTAAGAGAGGTACTTTCTAAGGTCTTACTAAATTTGTAGAAAAGAAAAAAAGAGAGAGATTAAGTTACAGAACTGGATCTTGGAAACTGGATATGTGTATTTTAGTATCTCCTATATGTTTGGTAGGGTAGGGGTATTTTGATTGCATTGTTTTATTGATTACAGTGTTATGAGCATATCTTTTGGCCTTGTAAAATGTTTGCCGATTGCCATTTTCATTTCCAGGCTTTGGAAACCATTGCAAGATAGTATTGACATAGCTAACTAAAGTTTCTCACCATGCCTTTTTAAATACCTTGTTTGAGAGACAGAGAGGAGAAAGCATGCATCTAGTTGTCTTTCAAAATAGATATGGTAAATGTTGATGAACAACTATAAGATATTCCTTTCTAAATTATTCTGTCTCTCTTTTACCTATGCATTTCTTGCTGTGTGTTGTTGTTCTTTTGTAATAACAAAGCTGCAATGATGTTTCTTGTTGTTCCCAGAGCCTTGCAAAGTTGAGAGAAAGATTCCTTCTTGGTCAAACTATTGCCCAATCAGAATCAGACTTGAGATGCAGCCTGGCACATTCCCAACAGTCTCTCTCCAAGCAAACTTTGGATGCAGGGTCTCAGACAGACATTTCTGGTGATGTATGTTTTTCCTATTATTTAAAGGTGGGGATAAAAAAAAATAACTATGGAATACTCTTGAAGAGATCTGAGTCAAATGTTAGTCAATATATCAGATATAAATTTTATTCTAGAATATTAATTGTAATCCAAGTTGGTTTTAATTTAGCAAAGTAGCTACAACACACATTAAAAACTTGCATTTTTTTCTTATTCGCACAAAACCAAACCTTTACTATACTATATATATATAGTATAGTAGTATAGTATACTACTATACTATGGAATACGTCATCATCTTCTATTATTTATTTTAAGTCTAGAATTTCATTGATATCTTCCCTCCCCTCCCCTGCCTTCTTCTCCCCTCTTCTTCTTGGCTTCCTGATATCCTGAATTTAGATTAACAATGTGAGATTCAGTCTAACCACATCTCCCTCTATTGGTATCACATTTCAAAAACATTTTAATTTAATCTGAAGTCATTTTTGAAGTCATCGAACACATTATGTCAAATAGGTCTTATCCAAAATGACATGTATTCATTGAATATTGATGTATATAAATATAAGTGAACCTTATTTATTTTTTTCTCCAAAAAGCAATGATCAAACCCCAAAGTCCAATTTTAAAAAGTCCAATTTAGTCACTTTAAAATATTTCTCAGTGACTGGAATGATTGCCATAGGTTTATATTCACAAATGTTTTCCAAACTTTGGTCTATTTCTTAAGGTGGAATCATAAAAGGCTCTGTGAATGATTGTACTAGGATTTTCTTAGAAGCAGCCCATACTTAAATGTGGTTTTTAACAATTTCAGTCTCATTGAAGTCCTCCTTTGAGCTTCATCGATCTCTTAAATTCTGAGTTCAAAGTGCTAAGCAACAATTTGGGATTAAATGGAGGTTCAAAGTTGGCCTTAATAGAACTGTACTTTCTTCTATTAAAATATATCCTAGGGTTATTTAGTAGTAATAAACATATATTATTTTAGAAAACATTTGAATTAGCCGTTGAGCTGACAAAATAGCAATTAGTGTTTTGAAATGTGTTTCTATTTATTTAGCTTATTTAGCTAAATAAATTGAATTATTTCATGTATCCTTAATGATATATGCTGTGAGATGGTGATTCTTTCAACAGGTCAGTGTAAAGAACATGGCCAATTTAGCTGAAAAGGTCAGATTGAGTCTTCAGTATGAAGAAGCTAAAAGAAGGTAAAGAAACAGTTTATTTCTTTGTTACAATATACATTTTGTATCTCAGTCTATAAAGCCATGTAGCCAATATAATGCTTGCAGTGACATCTACTGGATGCATCTCTTGAAAACATAGTTTAATATTCTTATCAGGATCATTTATTTGTGTATATTGGATCATTTATTTTTGTATATTGGACTATTAGTGAATACTTGGAGCTATTTTGTTTCCACTAACAAAAGAATTGTAAGCAAAAGAATGTGAACCAAATTAAACAGCAAATTTAGGGAAACAGGTTATTACTAGCAGTTTCCTCACTTGCAAAACAAACACTTCAGAATTGCCTGTATGTTTAGGTGATAACAGGAAAATTAGGATATGTAAACTAGTAGCTTTAAGAACATAATCTTAATTGTAATGACATAAAATGTAACACAGTAATCTTAAATTCAATATTAGAACCAAGGTGCAAAATACATACCACGTACTCAAAGGCAATGTCAGATCTGAATAAAGTGAGCTTTTCAACCTAAAAAGGAATAGCAATTGTTTATCAGATGACATGGGAAATCCTTATTGATACCTACAGAAATTGCAAATGATGAAAAAATTGCTACTTGAAACATTAAAAAGCAACAAAAAATGTTACTAGAAGTCATAATTTAATAGATAGTCCTAGATCTTCAATCATGCTTTCAGTGATTGTTTGAAGTTGCGACAGCAACTTCATGCATTTGCGGCCCTTGCGGCCTCTGACCCAGCGCTGAACCTGCCCAGCTCCTTGGTTCTCTGAGAAGCTGAGGGAGATGAAGCGCCGGAAAAGATGCCTAGAGAGTAGTTGGAGAGCTAGTCGTTCCGAATCCGACCGAACACTAGTGAGGTCTTATATCAAGACCTACTTAGTGGCGATAAAAGCGGCAAAGTGTAACTACTTTTCTTATCGCGTCGGCAGATAATCGCCCAGCCGCCCTGTTTAGGGTGACCCACTCCCTTCTCCATCTGGGAGCGCAGGAAGACCCCTTGCAAGGGCAAGCTGAGGATTTTGCACATTATCTGCACAATAAAATTGCTCAAATCTGGGAAGGCTTGGATTCTGACTGGGTGGGTTCAGGCAGGATGTCCGAGGCGGGTCTTGAGAATGTTATCTGGGGTGAGTTTGACCCTGTGACTCCCGAGGACGTGGACAGGATGCTGGGGAGGTTGAACGCAACCACATGTTTATTGGTCCCGTGCCCCTCCTGACTGGTGCTGGCTACCCGGGAGATTACATGAGGCTCGCTCCAGAGGATTATAAACACTTCTTTGAGTGAGGGTTTCTTGCCTCCCGCCTTGAAAGAGGCAGTGGTGAGGCCCTTCCTCAAGAAGCCCTCTCTGGACCCGGCTGTTTTGGCAAACTACTGCCCAGTCTCCAACCTTCGCTTTGTGGCGAAGGTTGTGGAGTGTGTGGTTGCGCGACAGCTCCCACAGTACCTGGATGAAACTGTCAATCTAGATCCGTTCCAGTCCGGCTTCAGGCCCAGGTACAGCACGGAAATGACATTGGTCGCATTGGTTGATGATCTCTGGAGGGCTCGGGACAGGGGTTGTTCCTCTGTCCTAGTCCTATTAGATCTCTCAGCGGCTTTTGATACCATCAACCATGGTATCATGCTGCACCGGCTGGAGGGGTTGGGAGTGGGAGGCACCGTGTTACGGTGGTTCTCCTCCTATCTCTCCAACCGGTCGCAGTCCGTGTTGGCTGGGGGGGCAGAGGTCAAGGCACCTTGTTTGTGGGGTGCCGCAAGGTTCGGTCCTCTCACCTCTCCTGTTCAACATTTATGTGAAGCCTCTGGGTGAGATCGTCCGTGGATTTGGGGTGCAGTGCCATCTGTACGCTGACGATACTCAGCTGTACATCTCCACCCCAGACCACCCCAATGATGCCCTTGAAGTGATGTCTCGGTGCCTGGAGGCTGTGCGGGTCTGGATGGGGAGGAACAGGCTTCGACTCAACCCCTCTAAGACCGAGTGGCTGTGGTTGCCAGAGTCCCGATATAGCCAGCTGGTGCCATCGCTGGCTATTGGGGGCGAGTCATTGGCCCCCACAGAGAAGGCTCATAACTTGGGCGTTCTCCTGGATGCACGGCTGTCTTTAGAAGAGCATATGACGGCTGTGGCCAGGAGGGCTTTTTATCAGGTTTGCCTGATTCGCCAGTTGCGCCCCTTTCTGGATCGGGACACCTTATGCACAGTCACTCACGCCCTCGTTACTTCCTGCCTGGACTACTGTAATGCTCTCTACATGGGGCTTCCCTTGAGGAGTACCCGGAGGCTCCAACTGGTCCAGAATGCAGCTGTGCGGGTGATTATGGGGGCGACATGGCGCTCCCATGTAACACCTCTCCTGCACGAGCTGCACTGGCTTCCGGTGGTCTTCCGGGTGCGCTTCAAGGTATTGGTTCTCATCTTTAAAGCGCTCCATGGCTTAGGGCCTGGGTACCTACGAGACCACCTTCTGCCACCGACAACCTCCCACCGACCAATACGCTCCCACAGAGAGGGTCTCCTCAGGGTGCCGTCGGTCAAGCAATGTCGACTGGCGACCCGCAGGGGGAGAGCCTTCTCTGTGGGGGCACCCGCCCTCTGGAACGAGCTACCCCCAGGGATACGATTGATCCTGGACCTCCGTACTTTCCGCCGGGCTCTGAAGACCTTCTTCTTTCAGCAAGCCGGGCTGGCTTAAAAATTTTAATTGTTTTATGGGTAAGGGCTTTTAAATTGGGGAAGCCACACGGATTTAATTATGTTTTAAATTATTTTAATTTTCATATTGTATGTATTTTAATCCTGGCTGTTCACCGCCCTGAGTCCCTCTGGGAGAAGGGCGGTATAAAAATTTAATAAATTCAAATTCAATTCAATTCAGCACTGTTCAAATGTGGATATACCTGGTCCTTGGAGTTCTGGCCATCCCAGCACCCCTGAAATTATGTGATCACAATCTGGGCATCTGGCAACCAGTTCACACTTATAATCAATTGATGTACTCTATAAACACATGATTGCTATTTACAACCTTCACTGCCATCCTCCTGAGAAAGTTAATTGGGGAGCTGGCAGGGAAGGTTGCAAATCACTGGGATAAATATCCCCTCCCACACAGTCTGCTCTAGCCACCTCTGTGTTCATGCCATACCCTTCTGTGCCATCCCTGATTCACACGGCTTCCTCATACACCCTTGCCAATCCACTCTTGCTCAGTCTCTCCAACTCACTTTCATAAATAACTCAAAGTGGTGAACATACATAATTCTCCTTCCTTCTTCTATTTTCCACATACAACAATCATGTGTGGGGGGTTGGGCTGAGAGAGAGTGACCAGCCCAGAGTCATCTTACAGTCGCCTAGGATTTAGGCCAGCACCTCAACCACAATACCAAAATGACTGTCTACTGCTGCCTTCTCTATTGATTCTGCAAAGCCCCAGATGGCGATCATGTAAATGTGACCATGTAAATGTGTAAAATCCTGCCAGTTGCAGGAAATGGAATAGTGGATCAGATTTTTGGTTTAGTCTATGCCAACAACACATTTTGAATTTTTATGCTGGAAAGAATTTGAAACATTATCTCTTTAGGAGAACATTCCATAAAATGAATGTCAGAGAAGGCTGACAGCTGCTATTTCCTGTGGTAGTAATTACTGTATAAAATGAAACCCTTTGTTCATTAAAACTTTTCATTGTCTTGCAATTAAAAACCTTATCAATGGGTAAATCACTTTGTAATAAAACCAACCATCATGTAAATAATGCACTTCACTCGACTCTCAGGAACTTATAAAGGATTCTTATTTTTCCTGTCCCTAATTGTTAACTAAGATAGCCCTGGACAGATCAGATTATAGATCTAGTTTGGTGTAGTGGTTAAGGTGCTAAGAGTTCTAGTCAAATTCTAGTCCCACTTTAGACATGAAACCTCACTGGATGACTTTGGGCCAGACACACACTCTCAACCAACCCACCTCATAGCACAACATTGTTGTGTTGTCTATTTTTATGTATAAAAATAATAAAGGTGATATAAAATCAAATAAATAATAAATGATATGAATTTGATTCATTCACTTCATGTGAAAAAAGCGCACTATCTCATCCTCTGACCTTTAACTCCACCAACTGTCTATATTACTGTGAAAAACTTGATCAGAATTAAGGATGCTACATGATATGTTTGTTTCAAATATTTTTATATATTGACTTGCTAGAAAAATGAGATGTGATGGCTCAGTGGCTTAATGAAACTGGATAGGGTCTCTGCTCTGGCGGTTCACGTCTTAGCACTGCATGGTGAGGTCAGCTCCCATCACTCGCCTCAGCTTCTGCCCACCTAGCAGTTCAAAAGCATGTTGTATGCAAATAGATAAATAGGTACCTGTTCGGTGGGGAGACAAGCCGGTGCTTCATGCAGCAGTTAAAATCCTATTGGCCCCCAACTTTCCAGGTTGCAACACCCATTTGTGAGGTGGAGGGAGAGAACCTTGGATGGTGCTTCAGGAAAAGCCACTCATCTTTCTTTCTGGTGCAAAGCTAGTTCACCTTCTGTGGTGCACCTTGGGAAGCACACAAGTGTGTACCAGTAGTGGGTTTCAATTTTGTTCGCTACTGGTTTGCTTGTGGGCGTGCACATGTGCAGAGATGTCCGGGCGGGTGGGCAGAGCCTCCCACTGCTACTGGTACCGGTTTGCCCAATCTGGGGTGAACCGGTAGCAACCCACCACTGGTGTGTACCTAACAGAGCTGCTAAACAGGCTGCCAAATTACTACTCTGCATTACCATTGTAAAAATGCCATATGCCCTAAATAAATAAATAACCAGAAAAATAATTAGAAATGCTGTGCATGATTTTGGCCTGCATTTGTTAGGCTTTATATAAAATATTATGTATAGTATAGTCCTACTATATTATTGAGCTCCTGAAAGTGGAGGAGGCCAGGAGATAAGAGACCTTCTGGCTTTTCCTTTGTTTTTGTCTTTTTGAAGTCCTTGTTTATCTGTTCTTTGTGTCTGTCTATCTCTTTTAGAATGGCAAACTTAAAAATAGAACTTTCTAAGTTAAAAAGTGAAGCTTGGCCCGGGGCACTGGAAATTGAGAAGGAAAAGTTGATGCTGATAAATGAAAAGGAAGAGCTTCTGAAAGAACTTCAATTTGTCACCTCATGTAAACGCACGCAAGATGAATTGAAGCATTTAGAAGCAGAAAGGAAGAGACTGGAAGAGGAACTATCTATGAAAAGCACACCTAGTGATGAACTTACAGAAAGGTATAGAAAAAAATCCTTTCCCTCTATCATTTATTTATTCATTCATCTTAACCTTTATACTTATTGGAGAGCCTGAGTTGTGCCCTAATGGGCCATTTTCTTTCAGTAGCTGTTCTATGTACATTTTAATTAAATTTAAAATTAGTCTTGTGGGCAGTAATACAGAAAGACCTTCACACTGTGACAGAATGCACAGAGTTCATATTATTTCAAGCTCTCTGTTGTTCTTCATTTGCGACCAGCATGAAAATAGCAAGTCCTGATGTTAAATAGCTGAAGGAAGTCAGCAGAGTGCAATATATCATTGGCAAGTTTTGGGATAATAGCTGAGACCTTATGAACTTCTTACTGCAAATATTATTCTCATTGCTTCTGCACTGGAGCCACTTATAGTTGATAGAGATGTTTTTCCACACACGTGCAAAGGAGTTAACTAAATTCAGAAGGTGTATACTGTGGCAGCTGGATTCTATTCATTTATATCAAGGTCCACACCGAGATGCTTCAGCCTTCTAGAATACAGTGTATTTTTAAGAAGAAAATGGATTGGAAAACCATAGAATATTAAGAATTGCAGAGTAGGTTTATGTTAATTAAGACATGTTTATAAAACCTTAAGTACTGCATATAAATGTTGACTTTTGATAAAGGGAGAATGATGACTGTAGAAGTGTCACGTTTTATCTGCTGTGCCTGTTTTGCACACTGATCATGCTCTTACAGTATACGCCATGGGTTTTTGTATTTTGTCTATAAATGCAGCCTATTTCCTTCTATTCTCTGTTGGTGAAGAAAAGACAAGGAGAGGTTAGTGTGAACTTTGTATAGTTGCTGTGCACAAATAAGATAGATACTTTAAACCTTGATTTAAACACATTTCTGGCTTGTTTGGACACCATAAATGTAATCCTGGGCTTGGATGTTATACCAAGCTGTCTAGTTTGTTTACCCACTTATGTAAAGAGAAGGTTAATAAGCAGCATGCAATTTGATCTCCTTCACTTGTTGGTATGTTAAGATGTTATCCTTGGCTTACTGTATTATCATAAGTTAAAGTTGACCATGGTAATTATAATTAAAGTAAATAATTGTAATTTAAAGTCATGAAATTTTAAAAACTGTGGTGAAATGTACTGGTGTTGGCTTCCATGGCTGGTATCTGTTACTCTGTGTTTTCCCAAAAATAAGACCTGGTTTTATATTTTTTTAGGATCCAAAATAAGAACTAAGACATTCCTTATTTTGGGGATGTCTTATTTTTTCCCCATGTACAGGAGGTCCACTTCTGCTGCTTGCTCACAGCTGCAATGGAGCAGGAAAGCTGAGAGATGGTAGGATGGAGTGGGCAGGTAGCCATGGGAAGTCCATCTTCACGTGGCAGCACTGGCAGCAGATGGAGGCAGAGGCACGGGGGGAGGCATGCAATCCAGATGCACCGCAGGCAAACTGAGAGATAGTGGGACAGAGTGGGTGGCTGGTCGTGGGAGGCTTATCTTTGCATCTCTTGGCTTGCCCACGGCCAGCATGGAGTGTCGGGATCACCTGCCTTCCCCCCGGTGCCTCTGCCTCCATCTGGTGCAAGTGCCACCACGTGAAGACAAACCTCCCACAGCCGTCCGCCTGGTCTAGCCCACCTACTCTTGGCTTTCTGTGGCATGGCCAGGTCACCTGCCTTGCCCCCACCTCTGCCTCCGCTTGCTGCTTGGACAGGTAATCAGCTCACCTGCATTTCCCCCTGCACCGTCGCCACCTCCAATGCTGCCACACCCATCCTCCAGGCTGATGACGATCTTCACTAGGGCTTATTTTGGGGATAAGGCTTATATTAGGCACATGCTTAAAAACCAGGCATGAGCTTATTTTCGTGATAAGTCTTATTTTTGGGGAACACAATAGTAGTATTGATCCTCCTGATATTTCACTGGCAACTGTGACTGGGATTTTCAGAGGCAAGGTGGTCTGCTAGCAAAACAGGTAGTTCTGCTTCTGAATGAAGATCTATGGCAGACTAGACATTCTGAAAGAGTGGGGATAGCATTGTGGTGGATAACAGTGACCAGACAGTGAATTTCTTTCACCAGATAAGGAAAGAAAGTGAGATCTCCCACTTGCACTCTGGACAGATGTTACAGGAACTGGGGTTTTTGTGGTGAACTCATGAATTGAGCAGCTGGGAGCTGAAGCATTTCAGTCAAGCTCACAGCTCTAATGCATCTTTTATGGACACAAGGTTAGCAGAAGCCTCACTTTCTTAAACAGTTTCAGTTGTAATCAATTTACAGCTAACGAGATTTTTTAAGCAGTATGCTAAGAGAAATTCACTTATTGAGTCAACATTTTTTCTGGTTTAAAAGGAAAAACCAGGTTTCAAAGCTTTAAAAATTTTGGCAAAAGGCTTAACAAAGATTGGATGTAAGAAAGTTTAAAATGGAAAAAGAGCTTAGTAATTTTTGATTATTATAAGAAAGGTTACTTTTTGATGAAAATGCTTTTGAACAAATTGGAATTAAAACATACAAACAGATCAGAACTTTACGGAAATGTTTTTTGTTTATTACTAAAGAGTACAAACAATTGATGGATTTTAGAAAGCAGAAGATGAATGTAATTTGAGCAGAGGGGGATGCTGACTATAACCATGGAATACCATTTGAGAGGAAAGTATTAAGAGCAGAGGAAGAAAAAAAAAGGAAACTCGTCTTTCTTTTGCAATAAGTCTTTTGCAAAAAAAAAAGGGGGGGATGATTGAGAGAGAACAGTGCACCACTCACTTTTGACTCAGTCTGAATCCTCTGCTTGTTTCAGCTTTGCTTATCTTTCAGCTAATGAGATTCAAAGCAGTTTGTGCATGAAAACTTTTATTAATGGAGCAACTGGTTTCATGTGATTTGTGCATAAATCGAAGCAACCATGATTGGTCTGGATATGAATTGAAACAGTGGGTAAGAGCGAGCTAGAAGAATCTAATGCTTTTGATGCCAATGATAATAAGGAAAGGAGTGAAATATGAAATTGGGGAGGTTCCAACCATTCACATTGCTTTTGTATAACATGCCAGTAGTGTTTTCACTTACCTTCGCTACCGGTTCGGAACTGTGAGCTCGCACAGTGCTTCTGCACATGCGCAGAACTTTCTGTGCATGTGCAGAGCGTCCGTGATGACGTCCGGGTGGGTGGGCAGAGCCTCCTGCCGCCACCACTACCGGTTTGCCTGAACCGGGGCAAACTGATAGAATCTCACCACTGGCATGGACCCTTTTCATCACATAGACACAGGTTGCAGTGGTTGAAGGGAAGCAGAGGAAGAAAGACACAGGAAAAGGATCAGGAAGTAGATGGGTTGGTGAGATGCATTCACGGACACTGTATTAATAGCTGTGCTGTGAGGTAAAGGAGGGACAGAAAGGAAGGCACTGGGCTAGTGGAATATGCCACAGTGAGAATTTTTTGAGACCATCAAGGAACCAATTGTATAAAATAAACAATATTAGCTCCATGTATCCTTTTTTCTGAAGGATTTCCTTCTTTATGAGCTGTGGTGGCACAGGGGTTAGAATGCAGTACTGCAGGCTACTTCTGCTGACTGCTGTTTATCAGCAGTTTGGCAGTTCGAATCTCACCAGACTCAAGGTTGACTCAGCCTTCCATCCTTTGGAGGTCAGTAAAATGAGGACCCAAGATGTTGGGGGCAATATGCTGACTCTGTAAACTGCTTAGAGAGAGCTGTAAAGCACTGTGAAGCTGTATATAAGTCTAAGTCTAAATATATAAAGAAGGGGTGATGTATTTCAGCATTGCTACCTCACCATGAAATATTTTTAGAATCTTCAGGATTTTGTTTTGACTGAAACTAGGAACAACAAAATTGTTCCAAGCTTTTACTTTGTCCAACCTGCAGCTGATCCAGAAGAATTTCATAGAACCTCCAGATTGCAATTTGCTTCTTTAACTTTCAAAATAAGATACATCTTCTGCTTCATACCGTTCCATCTTCAGCTCTTAGCAGATTAGCCCTGACCAAATGGCTAATTTTGAAGAAAGATTGTGTATCTAACCAGGAGCAGATGGAATAAAAAGAATATGACAGAAAAGCACTGAGCTTTCAACTTGCAATATATAAATATAAAGACGAGAGCCAGTTTGGTGTAGTGATTAAGGCACCAGGCTAGAAATCATGAAACCATGAGTTGTAGTCTCATTTAAGATATAAAGCCATCTGGGTGAGTTTGTGCTAGTTACTTTCTCTCAGCCACGACAAAAAGGAAACAGCAAACTACTTCTGAAATCTTGCCAAAACAGCTGCAGGGACAATTCCAGGCAGTCACCAGGAGTCAAAGCTAACCTGAAGTCACCAAAAAGCAAAAAGCAAAAAATCAACCTCAAGATAATATCTATTTGGTTTAGATTTTTTTCTGCAGCAAAAAGATAACAATCTGGGGTGGGTGTGGGTGTGGGTGTGTTTATGTATGTGTAAAATCATTACAACAATGAACAAATCTTAAAGTTAACAAGTTAAATATTTTAACAAAAATTGTCACAAATGATTTATGGCAGGTAAGAACGCCAAAGACTAAACAATTGAAGAGCCTCTTGAAAAAGAAATATATCTCTTCCCTAACTCTTATTTGCTCATAATGCATATAGAACTTGATAACTTTAAACCTATTGACATGGATTTTTCACTCAATGGCTAATAATTATATATAGTTCTTTTTTTGAAAAAAAAAAAGCAAATATTTGAGAAAAAGAACAATTGAAACTAAGTATTAGCTTAGCATTCTTATGCATGTTCTCATATAGCTGATTCTGTGACAGTTGCTTTTGTGTTATTTCAGCCTTATTAAATTTGGCTTTCCAAGCATAGATGAAACATTACCCTGAGGAGAAAATAAACATGGGTGGGTGGGAGGGGCATTCATCTTTGCTTTTGTGGTTTTTTAATTGTTGCCCTTAAAAATGCACTTAGAATATAATTTATGAATATTTTTGAGAAAAATGATTTATTTATTTATTTCCACCTCCTCTATATGGCATATTTTTGTTTATTGAACAGATTTTTATAGCTGTCCAACTCATACACAGTGACTCCTGCTGGCATAAAACAATAAAAAACCACAATTTGAATCCTCCCCCAAACTCCACCCTCTCCCCTATGGTAACAAACATAAACAAGGCACTTGATTAATTCTGTAGGAATCTGGGATCTACAAGCCTACTAACAAAACCATGTCTTTAGGCCTTTCAGAAAAAATAACAAGGTAGGGGCCACCTATTCCTCAAGCAAGAGTCATAAATCCAAGAGAATTTTCAAATTATGGACTTTATCTGCCTGGAGCAGTGCAATCCCATCCATGGCCAAAGTTGATAATTCCCCAAGAGCCAAGGAGCCCTGTTCCCAACGTCCCTCCTGCCAGGGTTCAGTTTTAACCCATTGCTCCCCATCCAGACCTCAACAGCCTCCAGACATCAAGACAGGACTGTCACAGCATTGACTAATTTGCCATGGTCTGTATTCACCAAACCGTAAAAAGGAAACAACACAAGTAGCCGCATTGTTGTTTTTTCTTGTTTTGTTTTTTCCCCTCACTGGAATTATTTGATATTGTTATATATGTTTACTGTAGTGTGTCCTTCTTCAAGAGTTCTCACTTACCTTCAGGTTTTTTCCTATTAACATTACATATAGTATATAATTTTCATTGCTCAATGAAAGTCCAAGATATATTTTTGACTACATTCAGCTTTAGTTTTCCTAATGATCAGGATTCATGAATTAAATATTCATTTTCCCTTGGTGTCAATGCTACTTTGACTTCCTTGATTAAGTCTTCCATATTATTTAATATGGTAAAGGGTAGCTGATTGTTTTATACCTTCTTGACTTTTTTCAAGAAGGAAATTATCAGAAAAATAGGGTAGGAATTTTCCAAAAAGGACATGTATGAGAGACTTTCTTTCCAAATAGATATAATTGAAGTCCTCCATCTCTACAATTCCATGTCTCTTTGAAGATCTGCTTATTTTTAAAGATAGCAACTTCATCTGCTCTTGATTGAATGAGCAACAATAGACGGTTATAATATCTTTTAATCTAAATATTCTCTATAGATGTGGATATATTGTCCTTTCTACTTCTTCAGTCCCTTTCAGACAAATTGTACTCTTCAATCATATTCAGTTCATTCTTGAATATTCCTTCATTTGGCAACTATTGTCGACCCAGCTTCTCAACTGTTACAGACTGCTTTTTGTGATATATAGACATTAGAATGGAAAGTTAAAAGTGCTTGTTAAATTTAAATTCAAAATGAAATCTATTCCTTTGCAACATTGGCTTTTCTGAAATCCAGAAATACTACTAAAATATTTTATATGAGAAAATATCACTTCAAATTTTACTAATTATATTGTTTAAGTTAATCTCTGGTTTGTTCATTTGTGGCAGCAAAAGAAGTGTGGAAATAAAATAATAAGAGCTTCCAAACTCCTTCTGTGGCTTTGCTGAAAGAAAATGGGAAAGTGCTGCTAGTATTATTATCTGTTTACAAATATGTGAAGTCACAGCTGCCAGTTCTTAGCTGGTGTTGGCGTTCATACGCATTGAGTTCTTCCCAAGAATTTAGGATGTCGTAATGTATTGGCATAGTATATGTGCAGATCCAAGCAATATGGCCTTTTGCAATTTACAGATGGACATTTTGTCAATGTGTATATTTTCTAAGTGCCATCCAAGAATTTTTGGTATTGGCACCCTGTGTGTCAATATGGGACCACCATAGCCAATTTAGGCCATATGCTTTCAATTTCAGTTTTCAGATCTTGATATTTTGTGATTTCCCCCCCCCTCAATTTTTTGTTTTCCTTTCTACTAGCAATAGCACTTAGACTTTTATACCATTCTATAGTGCTTTACAGCCCTCACTGAGCGGTTTATAACATCAGCATATTGCCCCCAAAAATCTGGGTCCTCATTTTACCAACCTTGGAAGGATGGAAGGGTGAATCAACCTTGAGTTCATCAGAATCAAACTCCAGACAATCGGCAGTGTTTTCCTGCAATACTGCATTCTAATCATTGTGCCACCATGGCTCATACTATCCCCTGGTATTGCCACATCAATTATCCATCTATCTTCTTTTCAGTCACAGTTAGATCTGAGTATTATGATTCAAGACTGAATTCAGAAATCCCAAAATATTTCAACCTTCTCATTTTCAACTACTTTTCCAATTATATTATTCCAGTTTTTCACTACTGGTGCATGATGATCTTTACAGGTGTTCTAGTGAATCATTTTGGTGAGTGTATTATGTCATTGTTTATAATCAGTCTGATTAATCTTTTTGTAAGAGCCAAATATATGGTCTACTGTTTCTTCTGCTCCTTTGCACTACTTGTTCTTTGATTTTGATGGTTCTTCAGTTCTGGCCTTAATTGCATCAGTTTGAATAGTTTACTCTCGAGCAGCCAAAATCCAGCCTTCAAGGGTTTTTTTAATTGTTCCAGTTGAAAGCCATTGCCAGGTTTTATCTTTATCCACTTTCATCTCAGTCTCTTGTAGAAATTGACCATGTAATGCTTTTCCTTGTCAGCTTTCTAAACATTATTTAGAGGTTCATGTTTCATTTCCTACACGTTCAATAAGTTCTAATTTTTAACTTGCATCAATGCTTGTTCTTGGTTGTCTGTGACATAATCAGCCTGTGCATGTTTTTCTTCTTTGACAGTTTGTTTGACTTGAAGTAAACTTCTGTTTCATTTCTGTGAGCAGATATAATCTATCTGTATCATTGTAGGGATGTAGTATAGTGAATAATCATGAATATTTTTTTTTTTGCAGTCTAAACTGCCTGGTTCACTTTGTATATCATATCACATGTATGGCCCAGTCATTAAAGGTTTTGATGGTGTTTCCAACCTTCAATTTTACCTTCAGTTCAGCCCTTTGCTCAGTGTATTATAATTTTTTTTATTTTTAATTAACATCATTATATTCATCATTTTTATTTTTAATTAACATCATCCAATACTATTTAATTATCACATAAATTCCATGGTCAATTATTTATCAAAAGCAGAATTTCAGATAGGTGTATGTAGTATTATATGTAGATGATACCATGACATTTCAATCCATGCTCTTCTTCTATAGGAAATACCAGCATCTGCAGCTAAGATGAATATACAAAAAAACCCCAAAGATCTTGGTGTTTGCAAAAAGACTCCAAAGCCTAAAGTGGATTATTAATAGGCAGAGACTTGAGCAAGTGCCATATTTTAATTATTCAGCAATTATGTTCTCTTCAGCTGGAAATTGGAAAGCTCATTTCTTTGTAGGCAGAAGGTTGAAAGTTTTTTTTTTCTTTTTTTCATTCAAGGGCTGCCATTAAGCTTTTATAGTCAGGTCAGATGCCTAACATAACTCCTTCATTCAGTGCAGCTGGATTAGGAAATAAGACACCTGTATTTGAGAATATTTTGGCCCAGGTTTCTGAACAAAACAAAAGTATTTCAAGTGAGTGGTGTGTCTCAGTATATCACTGCAATTACAGGCTGGCCTAATAACGTTTGTTTAAAAATACCTGGATGCAATAATAAATCATAGTTTTTGTAGAAAACTGAATTTCTCACCTCATAGTATAGTCTCACTTAATGTTGGTATATTCTGGGGGGAAGGGGGGGTGCAGGTTGGACAATATCCAAATGAGAGTTTTCTATCCAGTAAAGGATAGATATAACTGAGCTAGATAAATAGCGAAACAAAAACTAAGAGATAGGAATACAAGGACAGTATCTTTGAGAATATGGTTCTCAAGAATTGGCAGTATCCAGCCCACATCTTTAAAAATATTGTAAATTAATTTAGTAGCTCACCAGCTCCTCCAGGATAAATAAGAGTATAATTACAAACAGGCGCAAGCATAATAGATGTAAGGTACCTTCAAATGATTATTAGCTAATGGACTGCACAGTCCAACATTGATGGTAGTTTGTTCTTCATCTATAATTTTCATTTGATCAGTTAATTTTTAGCAGTTTGAGAATTATTATATCCTTACCCATTAGCCAGGGCTAATATATTTCCAGAAACAGTTCATGGTCAGAATCTGAGAAAGAGAACAAAATGAAAATATTTTGAAAGATTTTTAGACCCCCCCCAAAAGAGAGAATATGTATTGGCTATTCACTAACACTAATCAATTAAACATATTAATGGTATAGTACAAATATACTTCTGTACCATAATCTTTCAGCTGCCCTGAAAATTTCCATTTGACTTGTGATTTGGTTGAACTTAAATAAATTGCCTTCAGCTGTTTGTCATTATGCTTTTAAAACAAGGTTCTCTTTACAATGTATATGCATTTATATATTGACAGACAAACTCTTTCATCTTCTAGGTTGAAATTAGAAGATAGAAAGAATAAATTGGTTAAAAAACTTGAAGAAACTAGTCATCTAACCACCCATTTACATTCCCAGCTTAAAAGGTAAAATAACTTTGTTTACACCAGATTTTTGACAAATGATAATAACAGTTTGTCCAAAACTGCTGTTGGCATACTGTATTTCTGAATTGTCTATTTTGATTTAGGTGGAATATTAACTTGGAAGCTGTCTTACACAAATGTCTTCTTACTAAAAGCTTGGTTATCTATTGTCTAAGTACTGAACTGCAATTTTTTTGCCAGCAAAAAATATATATGACTGATCTGTTATAGCCCTTTCTCTATATTATTCAAGCTACATTGGTGGAAAATTGTGAAACAAATAGGTTGGCTGTTTCTACTATGAGTAACAATCAGTTTTGCACATGGAAACATTGTTACAAAGAAAGGTCATAAAATGAGGCAAAATTCACTTAACAATTATCTGCTTAGCAACAGAAGTTTTGGGCTCAATTGTGATCATAAATTGAGGACTACCTAAACCATTTAGGCAAAAATGAAAGATATAAATCATGAATATAAGTACATTGCATCTTACTTCAAATGCTCATTTTCTCAACACATCTGTGCACAGATGCAAATGACAATCACTAAGGAATAGCTTGTATTAATGTTCTTTTTATTGATTTCATAGTGCCGTCTTTCTTAAGGGCAGCACTGCACTAATGTGATTCCATTTATTGAGAGAGTGTTTACTATGATTAATAACCAGTGAACAAAGCAGTATTTCCTTAAATTCAGAAATGTCCATGTTATATGGACATTTCTGTACTGTATTTTGTTTTCCTTTCTCTTCAGGTATTATGTATTATTTGTTCATATACTTGAATTGTCTTTGAATGGCTGGGTGGACTGGACATTACCATTTGAACCACTATAAGTCCATGTATTTGCCATATGCTAAATAAATAAATGTTCATATACTTTACCTACCAACTGAGTAGAAAATACCAGAATGGGAAAAATAGGGTATCTCAAACAGTGATCTAAGACTATCTAAATTTAGATAGGAGTTGTGGATTGCTAAATACAAAACTACTTTCTTATTGTTCTAATTGTACTTTCTAATGTGTCCTCATGAAACTGTTACAGTAATCAGCAATATTTTAAAGTGGTAGAGATTGTCACACAATTTTGTGCAGTATTACACAAAATTGATATATTTAAAAATCAGGGTTTTTTTTTAAAAAAAGAATTATAATTAAAATAACTGAATTTTTTTATGATTGCTTATATGTTTTTTTTTTAAAGAGCCATCTAAGGAAGTCATGTTGCTGCTATAGTTAATACTCTGTCATCTGAAATTTCTTTTTGGTAGTATTCAGACATTGCAAAATGTGTTCCTTTTAAGAGATATTATTATACTTGTCAATTTCATGACTAACATGGATTAAATTTTAAGTTTTACCTGTGATTTGAGATCATCTGAATATACTACTGATAGAATAGAATGACAGCTCTTTGCTTCTTTGTTGCAGCCTCTCTGCCAGTACGTTATCAGTGTCTTCAGGGAGCAGCTTGGGATCCTTAGCATCTAGTCGAGGGTCCCTGAATACATCTAGTAGGGGGTCACTGAATTCTCTTAACTCTACAGACCTCTACTACAACCAAGGTGATCAACCTGTAGATTTAGACTATCAATATAAATTGGATTTCATATTACAAGAGAAATGTGGTTATATTCCTTCTGGCCCTATTACCACCATTCATGAAAATGAAGTGGCCAGCTCCCATGAGAAAATGGGATACAGTGACTCTTCCAGTTCTTTGGCAGCAAGTCATGCACCTAAAATAACTGAACCTCCTAAATCTATCACATCATTCTCTTCAAGATCTTCCCTTTCATCATTATCTCCTCCTGAATCACCTTTGGTTTTAGAAGGTGGCTTTTCAGTCCCTCCTCGAGATTCTCCATTACATCATTTCACCACGGACTTTGATGACTGCGATTTACCCAGTGACTTTACAGGCATTACTACCTGTGAGAAACAAATTTTCCTGGATTCTGAAACTAGAATATCTTCTCAATCACTTAATGATAAATATCGCAATGAAAGTGTTTCACAGAGCATATCACATTCAAGAAATACAGGTAAATATGTCTTGCTATTCAAACTCAGCCAATTCTCCCTCTCTGGATCAAACTCAGTTACTTACTCACTTAGCAGCCAATATGTCCTCAAAAAATTGTGCATTTTTTCCTGATAAGCTGATAAGTCACTGTTAACAAATAAAATCATCATCAGCTCAGCACATCACTTCTATATGAAACTTTAAGAAGTAGGACTAGATATGAAAGATCCAGGGAGATTAAACTTGAGAAACTACTATAAAGTGGGTAGAATTCTAAAAATTGTGGTGAAACAGCAACAGCAAACAAGCAAACAAAAAAAAAACAGGCAGTAAATGTACTAGAAAGGATATCACAGCAATAGGAAGATATGATATAGTGGTGAATATCTGTAGCTCAGGTGCAGGATTTAAGTGAAGGCTCGGAGAATGAACCTTCACTCTCATAAGAAGATATACTGACAATAGAGGCACTGAGACAGAGACACTGGATAACTTTATAACAGGAAGATGTTCACAAAACCAGTGAGCTGCCATGGGCAGAATAGAATCCCTTGAGGGCCAGTGCTGTTGATAATATCTTCACTATTCAATCAGCTCATTTAACAGCACAGGTAGGGAAGCTTGTGCCCCAAAGATCTGATCTTAAGCTGCACATTGTTTTCCCCACATTTTCTACAATCTGTTTCTACCTACTAATTACTGAAGTTAAAATAATCAGGTATCTATGTGGGTTTAATAGTCCTTCCCTGCTGCAGTGAAACTTCAAGAAAAAGATAAATTCTTCCAGTCTGGCAGCCTATTCGGGTATCCACTGACCTATTTGCAAAAGGGAATTAAAAATAAGGAAGACATTTTAAAAGACAAATAACACTTTCATTATAGCTTGATTTTTCTTCATTACTGTTCACTTCATTAAATGAATAAAGTATAATGTCGACAGATGAGAACATACTATCCATGGTTTCAAGGACTGGCCAAAGGTGGGGGAATGAATTGGCATGTTGCAGAGAAGGTTATAAGTATATATTGAAAGCAATCATTCAGAAAAAAAAGTGTGAATGTGACATAATCATTCTAGAAATCTTATAAATTCATTAGTATGGTAAGTGGTGTTTAGTGGATTAACAAAACCAATATTTTTAATTTAATTTAAACCTAACTATTTTAATGAAGTTAGTAATTCTGCTGAAAAATACCCACTTTTAAGGCAGTCACAGTGTTCTGTGGAGTTCTAAATATTCCTTCATTTTCCAGGATATTTGTTTTATCTCACAGTATGTATGCATTTCAGACTTCCAATTGTGACTGACCAAGGAATTTCCATTTCTGTCTGCAATTTCTGCGTTTCATTTCTCTCTTACTCTATTATTTACTTCTAGCCATGGTTATTTTTTTGTATGAATTATTTGTATGCTGCTTCTTAAAGTAATTCAAGGCAGCCTACAACAATGTATTAAAAACAGCCATAAAATCCAAGTATTACAAATCTTTTTTAAAAGCTTCAAAAATCTAATGTTGTTCAAATTTAATCCCCCCTCAATTCCTCAGGGTTGTATGTATTTCTTCCTCATATTAATATATCTGATGAAGCACCACATGCTCTACAACAAATTATATCACAATAAATAAATGCTGCAAGAGTCTTTGTAGTTTTTACAATAGTTTAACAGACAGTTCTTTGAAAACTTTAAACTGGTGTACAAATAATCACACAAAGTGATGTCTCAAATTTGGGAGCAGCTGGCGGTTCAGAACTTAAGTAAACTGCATGAATTTGTTGTGAGTGAATTTGGATTTGTTACTTGACATCACAAGATCTTTATTTTTATTTCTTTTTACAAGATCAAAACAATCTGTCCTTTAAATGTATAGAGATGAGATTTGCTCCCACCCCTCACATCTTGTACCAAAAGGGTATAGAAAGAAAGAGGAGATTGTTGTATCTTTGTATCTCAAAGGAAGTTCTTGATCTCAATGGAAGTCATTGTGAATGAACTTATCCCATTGGCCTATTTAAAATCAGGAAGGAGGAACAGTCAGAGAGGCTGCTGCAGGGATGGAAATAGGAAACAGGAAGAAAACCAATAACAGCCATTTTTCCCACTGTAAAATGTGTCCCAAAATGAATGTATTTTTAAGTGTAAACCATTCTGGAAATGTCATAGTATAGAACTTTCTTAGAATGTGCTTGTTATACTTATGGTTGAGATTAAAATTTTAGCAATAGCACTTAGACTTACTTACTGCTTTACAGTGCTTTACAGCCCTCTCTAAGCCGTTTACAGAGTCGGCATATTGCCCCCCAAAATTTGGGTCCTCATTTTACCCACCTTGGAAGGATGGGAGGCTGAGTCAACCTTGAGCCTGGTGAGATTGGAACTGCCAAATTGCAGGCAGCCGGAAGGTAGCAGAAGTATATAACATAATGAAATCTATGACAGAAATATTCTAAACAATGCTAGATTAGTTTTAACAGTAGTAAATGATGCCCATGGCTGCCAGCAAGGACCATTTTTTTCTTGCACCAGCTGTTACCTCACTGTGTCCAGTAAACTTTTTGATAGCTGTGAATTATTGTTTTGCATATTTCACCTGTGTTGTTTACTAAGAACTTGATTTATCAGTATATTGACTTAAACAGATCGAAGATGCATGTTCAAAACCTTTTTGCTCCTTTACCCCAAGTTTTTGAATAATGTATTGCCATATTTTGGTTGAATACTTCAACCAAATATATACCTTTTCACATACAATTCTTTTAGTTAGAAATCGCTGTTATTTAGTTACATGTGTAGAAATAAAAACATTATATAGTGGCGAAACTACATTTTATAGTGTCTTTCAATCAAATGGTGTTCCCAAAACAATAATAAGAATTAGTAATAACAATAATAATGAATGAGTAGTAACATGTAACATACAGTATTGCTCAAAGTCTCTCTTGAGCGAAGCCTGACCTCTTGGTGACTACATGAACATGCCATCCTATTTGCTTGGTAAAATACAGGATGTCTTTTTAATTTCCTAATGAAGTTTGCCACTCTGTGGTTTCCTGATGGTTCCCTTTACGTACAGACCAGTTGGGACCCTTGTTAGCTTTCCCCAAATCAGTTGAGAATGACTAGTTACTGTCACTTGGTGTGTCAGTTAAATAATTAAAATATGTAAATTTAAAAGCATGGGGAAATAAGAAAGGAGTGTTTGCCATAAAGACAGTATAATGGATACCACGAGAGGAATTCTAGAAACCCTGGTCCAGCAGCAACCTGCCTCAGTTCAAATGGCAATAATACCCAGAGCAGCAATGAACTCAAAGCCAAAGGAAGCAGATTGTAAGAACAGGTGTTCCCTCAAGTATTTCAACTCAAGCCATTGTACTTTGAAAGTAAGCACCTATATCTTTAACTCTGCTCTTTGTGGCTAGAGTAAAGGATGGAAGTGTCATTGACATTGTTGTTTAATTATGTAGGTTGATGTTGGGAACATTGGGATTAAAGTACATTGTTTAGCAAGCAAATATTTGTAGTGAAAGAGGCTGGTTTACACTTCTGACACTGTGTCACTTGCCAACTTGTCCAAACTTGGCTCCCAGTATTGACAGTCTGCCATTTGCTCAGTTCCCTGAGTAGAATGAAGGGGCGGAAAAACTTTGCAATGCATACAATAATATTTCAGTGTTTAGCTCAAGCTTAACACACTTGGTGAATGTACTAGGTATGAAATGGTACATTCTGTAGCTTATCACAAAATTGCTAACAGTATAGAATCTGCAGATAGTTGAGGACAGATACTTTTGGGATAGAATTTTTTTTCATTTAGTTTACAAGGAAAGGGATGAGGAAGATTGTAGATGTCTACTTTTTACAGCATGAGACTTTGATTGGCAAACTCTAACCTTCTCTAGTTCTCATTCAGCAATAATTGCTCCAGTGTGATGGACCATTTCTACCATATACTATACATCAATTGGAACATAGTAGAGTTTCACTTTTGTTTCCCAAATCTTATATGTACTTAAAATATATATAATCCAATAATCCAAAAAGGATGATTGGTTTTGTTGTTGTTGTTAGTTGCAAAGTCATGTCCAACCCATCACAACCCTATGGACAACATTCCGCCAGCCCTTCCTGTCCTCTACCATCCTCTGGAGTCCATTTAAGCTCACACCTACTGCTTCAGTGACTCCGTCCAGCCGCCTCATTCTCTGTCGTCCCCTTCTTCTTTTGCCCTCAATCTTTCCCAGCATTAGGTTCTTCTCCAGTGAGTCCTTCCTTCTCATTAGGTGGCCAAAGTATTTGAGTTTCATCTTCAGGATCTGGCCTTCTAAAGAGCAGTCAGAGTTGATCTATTCTAGGACTGACCAGTTTGATCACCTTGCAGTCCAAGGGACTCGCAGGAGTCTTCTCCAACACCATAGTTCAAAAGCTCAATTCTTTGGCACTCAGCCTTTCTTATGGTCCAACTTTCACAGCCATATATTGCAACTGGGAAAACCATAGCCTTGATATATACACTTTTGTTGGCTGGGTGATGTCTCTGCTTTTTAGAATGCTGTCTAGCTTTGCCATAGCTTTCCTACACAAGAGCAAGTGTCTTTTAATTTCTTGGCTGCAGTCCCCATCTGTAGTGATCTTGGAGCCCAGGAAAATAAAATCTGTCACTACCTTCATTTCTTCCCCATCTATTTGCCAGGAATTGAGAGGACCAGATGCTTTGATTTTAGTTTTCTTAATATTGAGTTTCAAGCCAACTTTTGCATTCTCCTTCTTCCGCCGCATCAAGAGGCTCTTTAGTTCCTCTTCACTTTCTGCCATTAGAGTGGTATCATCTGCATATCTGAGGTTGTTGATATTTCTCCTGGCAATCTTCATTCCAGCTTTTGATTCATCTAGCCCCGCCTTCCTCATTATATGCTCTGCATATAAGTTAAATAGGCAGAGTAACAGTATACAGCCTTGCCAGACTCCTTTCCCAATTTTGAACCAATCAATGGTTCCATGTCCAGTTTTCACTGTTGCTTCTTGACCCGCCTATAGGTTTCTCAAGAGACAAATCAGATGGTCTCATACTCCCATCTCTTTAAGAACTTGCCACAATTTGTTGTGATCCACACAATCAAAGGCTTTAGCATAGTCAGTGAAGTAGAAGTAGGTCCCTGCCATTTTGATCCTTTATCATGCCCATCTTTGCATGAAATGTTCCCGTCATATGTCCAATTTTCTTGAAGAGATCTCTGGTCCTCCCTATTCTATTGTTTTCTTCTATTTATTTGCACTGTTCATTTAAGAAGGTATTCTTATCTCTTCTAGCTATTCTCTGGAATTCTGCATTCAATTGGGTGCATCTTTCTCTTTCTCCCTTGCCTTTCATTTCCCTTCTTTCCTCAGCTATTTTCAAAGCTTCCTCAGACAGTCATTTTGCTTTCTTGCATTTCTTTTTCTTTGGGATAGTTTTAGTTGCAACCTCTTGTACAATGTTGTGAACCTCCGTCCATAGTTCTTTAGGCACTCTGTCTATCAGATCTAATTCCTTAAATCTATTTGTCACCTCTACTGTATATTCATCAGGGATATGATTAGTTCATACCTGAGTGGCCTAGTGCTTTTCCCTACTTTCTTCAATTTAAGCCTAAATTTTGCAATGAAAAGCTCATGATCTGAGTCACAATCAGCTCCTGGTCTTGTTTTTACTGACTGTATAGAGCTTCTCCATCTTTGGCTGCAAAGCATATAGTCAATCTGATTTCTGTGTTGACATCTGGTGAGGTCCATGTGTAGAGTCGTCTCTTGGGTTGTTGGAAAAAAGTGTTTGCTATGACCATTGTATTCTCTTGACAAGATTCTATCAGCCTGTGCCCTGCTTCATTTTGTACTCCAGGGCCAAACTTGCCTGTTATTCCAGTTATCGTTTGGCTTCCTACTTTAGCATTCCATTCCCCATGATGATAAGGACATCATTTTTGGGTGTTAATTCTATAAGGTGCTGTAGGGCTTCATGGAACCGGTCAATTTCATCCTCTTTAGCACCAGTGGTTGGGGCATAGACTTAGATTACTGTGAAATTGAATGGCACTTTGCCTTGGATTTGAATTGAGATCATTCTGTCATTTTGGGGATTGTATCTCAGTATTGCTTTTTTTACTCTTTTATTGATTATGAAGGCTACTCCATTTCTTCTGAGGGATTCTTGCCTACAGTAGTATACCTGATGGTCATCTGAATTAAATTCACCCATTCCTGTCCATTTTAGTTCTCTGATTCCTAAGATGTTGATGTTCAGTCTTGTCATCTCTTGTTTAACCATGTCCAGGTTGCCTTGATTCATGGATCTTACATTCCAGGTTCCTATGGAGAAAAAATCTTTACAGCATTGGACTTTCCTTTCACCACCAGTTACATCTACAGTTGAGCATCCTTTCAGCTTTGGTCCAGTCGCTTCACTCTTTCTGGCGCTACTAGTACTAGCCCTCTGCTCTTCCCCAGTAGCATATTGGACACCTTCCAACCTGAAGGGCTCATCTTCCAGCGTCATATCTTTTTTCCTTTTGGTACTGTCCATGGGGTTTTCATAGCAAAGATACTGGAGTGGGTTGCCATTTCCTTCTCCAGTGGATCATGTTTTGTCAGAACTCTCTGCTGTGACCTGTCCATCTTGGGTGTCCCTGCATGGCATAGTTCATAGCTTCATTGAGCTACGCAAGCCCCTTCAGCACAAGGCAGTAATACATGAAGGGGATGATTGGTTTTACATCCTGCCAAAACAAAGGAGAGAAAGAGTGATGGTTTAAAGGGACCATGAATATGCCACTTTTGGTGTAGTGGTTAAAGCACCAGCCTAAAAACTGAGACCATGAATTCAAGTTCTGTCCAAGGTATGAGACCAGCTGAGTGACCTTAGGCCAGTCCTTCTCTTTCAGCCATAGGAAACAGGCAGGAGGAAAACCCATGAAATATTGCAAAGAAAACTGCAGGGATTTGTCCAGGCAGTCATCAGGAGTCAATACGGACATGAAAGCACAACAAATAATTATTTCCCCTCACCCTTGGCCAGATCAAGTTTAATGTTTAATGATGTTTTACTGACTCTTCCCCTGATAACACAAAATGTCCCATTCTGAGGTTTTGAGTTATCCCACTAGTGAAGATTTATTCAAAAATATAAAACATACATTCACAAATGATTTGTCATTAATAACAATTATTAGATTAGTTAATTATCACATCAGTTGGCAGCAGCTATAGTGGTCAACTTTTAGGGTCAAGGGGCTTTGAGACCGTGTTGATTCCTAGCAGCTGCCTCATTGAGTCCCTGCTGTTTTCTTGGCAATGATTTTAGATTTGGTTTGCCTCTGTCACCTTTCTAGGCTAAGAGGGAGGGGCCCTCAAAGTCATCCCATCTGGTTTCCTGTGGGTGGGACTAGAACTCATGGTCTCTCAGTCTTTAGCCTGGTATCTTAAGCTAAGCAGGGTCAGCTATGGTCAATTCTTGAACATAGACGATCAGGTAATTTTACTATAGGTTAGCCTAGATTGTAAAACAACAACAACACATGATCATTCATGAAAATTCCAAAATGGGATATTGCTTGTTTTTAGTTTGAGTTTTAATTGCAGGCTAACCAGAGAGGGAGAAGAAAGTGAAATGTCAGAGAACAATTTGGAACATAGCAGTACAATTGCATGTATATTCATTCAGAACTACCCATTACATTTAGAAGACATGATTGCATAAATAAGTTTTATCTAATTCTTAAAATTACAAAGCCCCCATGTCAGATAATATACTTTGGGATATTAAACATTATTTTTGTATCAATATTAATGTTAATATTAAAAATTACTTTGAGACTTTTATTTCTGTATTTTTAATGTACGTTCTCCATTATACAAACTCTAATTTCTTGAATTCGGTAAAAATTCTTTAACTGTCATTGGAAAAAATTATTCATTATACCATCTCCTCCAATTTAAAATTCCTGAACCTGCAAGGGTCTCACTCAGTTACAAGCCTATTGATGGACTGAATATGCCAATGCAATGCAATGTGGTTTACTTAAGTTCTGAACAGACAGCTGCTCTCAAATTTGAGACATCACTTTGGTGATTATTTGTACACCAGGCATTATTACAGGCCTACTGATGGACTGAATGTGCCAATGTAGGTAAAGAGCACTAGGTTATGAAAGGTTATTATAATCCCTGTCTCATAATCAATCGAATGCAATGAAAAGCTTCCTAAAAGTTATGAAAATATTTGGATTATGTCCAGTTTCAAATTTATATCTTGTAATTCTATTGATTTTGATAGATCAATAAAACCAGATCTTTAGTTTTGCTCACATTGAAATCAATCAGTTCTAGACTTGGTTTGAACAGAGCTTTGATAATGGTGCACATGCTTGTATTTTCTCTGCATCTTTATTTCAGGCAGAGGAAACTTTGTCTCCTGCACACAGCTTTTTTTCTGCGCAGAGCATCTTTTGGAATAACAGATTTAGAATAACTGTAAAGTTCTTTCATAGATAGACTCTGTCATTGTCAAAGTCGATTCCAGACCGCTGTGCTTATTCCTGAGAGTAATCAATAAATCATGTCATCACCTTCACCTCTCTCAAAGTGGTGAAAGAAAAAGCACTTCATCATCAAGGAAAAAGCATCCCTACTGCTATAAATGAAAAGAAAAATGCAGCAATCAATCCTCTAATCTGAAGCCTTAAAATTTAAACATCTTAACAAGATGTAAAGTCATGACTCAGGAGGGGGGTGTAATGCATACCAATACATTTAGTTTCTTGATAGATAAAAGGACTCCATGCACTTGCAAGTTATTACATTACAATGTGCTGCTTGCATTGATTGTACTATGGTTTCTGCAAGAAAACTAGCAAGAATTGAATTTTCAAATCAGGAGAAAGAAACTTGAATTTTCTCTTAAATTTTGTGGTAGAGTCCTAGATTCTGTCACTGGTGAATCCAAAACAGAATTGGGATTTGTATCTTACCATATAGAAATTTCAGAAAAGATTTTTTAAAAAACTTAAAGTATTTAGAATCTAATTTGCTTGTTGTCAAAAGTCTTTAGTTTATTATGACACTCTGCATTCCATTTGAGCACTCTCAAACTTTGTGATTTGCAGTGTTTCTCCAATATGATTGAAATGGCAACAATGAAACAGAGAAAGATTTCTGAATAAAGGTGAACTTAAATTTGTAGCCAATTTAAGCCATAACTGTTTAAATCTCAGAAGTTCAACAATTTTGTATAGATGTTCTGATGAAATCATATGTTCCTATTTCCTATTAAGCAGTAAATTGGGACTTGGGGTGCATTACAGCTTAAAATGTTTGTTGCTTGAGATAAAAAGGCATGTTCTTATATTGTGTGTGCAAAAATCAAGAAATTTCAATAGTAGCTATGGAGCAAAATTGCAACTATATGTCTGCATAGCAGGTTAACGGTTGGAAGACGAGACACAGTGCATAAAGATAGTTCTGTTGCCAAAAAATCCATTGAGCTCAGCACTGTTGGCTCTGAAAATAGTCCCTTACTCTGAAATTGCCAACTTATTCTACCTAATGCTAGGACCTGTCTCAATTGACACATTCTCCTCTTGCTTTTTTGATTTTGAGAAGAGGAAAAATTGATGGCTGAATGATAGGGATCCTTACTTTTAAGAGTTGCAGAAAAGTACCATAATATGTTGCTTTTTTCAGCCTTATAAAATGCACATAGTGGTAAAGAAGCCTCATTCTAAATCTGAAAAATTTGAATATTATTTCAATACATGTAATGCTTGTGATAAAATTTAATTACACTTTTGGAACCCAGAATCTCTCATGTGAGTTTGACCAGGAGTTGAAAATGCTTTTCTTATTCACAGCCCAAAATAAAGGTTTTTTTCCTTTACCTAGGTATTGACTTTTCAAGAAGAACAAGAACTCATTTGCTTGATGAGAAGACAGGCTGTGTTTCTGCTGCTGTATCTGATGAGTCCATGGCTGGAGACAGTGGTGTATATGAAGCTTCTGTAAAACAGTAGGTTTAAAGCCAGGAATATTCCTATTTGTCAGAAAACAAAATTAACAGTACATTCAAACATTTGGCTTTGTACCCTCCAGCAATTTCAGAACAAATCAAACAAATAGGGCAAGGAATAATAAAAAAAAAATTCCGAAAAATTAACAATCAGGAGAATAAAGAGTCAGTGGAACAGAATGAGCATTCTCCTAAGTAAAAATGACACCTTAAAATCTGTGTAAATTTGTATTAATATCAATACTGGAAAACATTCTCCATAGACCTAATTTAAATTTTAAAATAGTACAATTGAAGAGTTCGAGAACTGATCAGTCTTCATTATGGAACATTCTAATATGTTTAGAAAATAAGTATTCAGATAATTTTTTAACAAGTCTTAATTATTCAGGCATTTAAAATGGAGAGTACATGCTTTAATTTATTGAAGGACAATAACATTTAAATAAGGCACAGTAATTTTATTTTATTTTATTTTAAAAAAATATTTGCCGCCCATCTCATATCCAACAACTCTGGGCAGTTTACAGCATAAAACATTAAAGAAAAAAGACATTAAAATTAATAGTCATGGCACACAACAGATAAAATTCACAATTGCAAACTGTTAAAACCAGATGGGAAAGGTGGGAGCTTGACACACAAGAAGTGGGGAGATGGGATTAGATATTAATTAATCACCCACCTCCAGTATGAAGCTCCCCTATTGGATCCCAAGCCACTTGGCAGAGCCAGGTCTTGAGGCTCTTTCAAAATTACAGGAGGATGGTATGTTCCAAAGGGCAGGAGCCATGACAGAGAAGGCTCTCCTCCTGGAGCCCATCAACTGAAATTCCTTGGCTGACACGATCTGCAGCATGTCCCCTCTGCCAGCGCAGGTGGTACGGGCCACTCCCATCAGGATGAGACAGTACCTCAAGTAAGATTAACAAACATAGCAAAAGTAATTCATTAATTTAAGCAAAGAAATAGAAAACAGAAAAGTTGTTCCAATATTGACCTAAAAATTCCAATGTAATCTTATATCTCAATGTAGTAATTATATCCCAGTGCAGTAATCTTATATCCCAGTGTAGTAATTTCAAATATATGAGATCATGTCTGTACAAACTACTACATTTTATTATGTCTTCTTTTCAAATTCCATTTGTTTGTAATTAAAGTATGTAAACTAGTTTCATTTTATATAGCCAAACAATATGCAGATCATGTAAATTATTATGATCTTAAAGGATAGGGCCTTCAAATAAATTGCTGTTAGTGAGACAATCTTTAGCATTGTTTCCTAAATATCACACTTCAACAGCTTCAGTATTTATGAAGAAAACTCCCCACACAAATTTATTTCTATGTAGTAAAAATAAAATATATTAACGTTCATAAAATAAAATGTTGACCAGCATTTACCAATTATGGGCTTTAATATGTTTGACCTCAATTCCCAGTCAGCAAAAGTATTTCTGTCATTGCCATTGATCTATCTTAAAACTCTGTTCCCTAGACCCAATAGCAATGAAGTCGCATGTAGTGAAAATGATACCACAATGCTGGAAACCGCTCAAGTACAAATAGGGCTCCGGTGAGTCACTACATATATTAAGATATTAAGTTTCTAATGACCATTGTAAATATGTGGTATCTAATGCAGGTTTTTTCCCTCTCAACAGGTATGATACAAAGAGCTCAAGTTTTGTGATCGTTATAATGCAGTTACAAAATCTTCAGGCTCTTTCAATATCCCCTGGTAACAAAATGTAAGTAAAATGCTTTTTTGACAATGGTACTTTTTGAAGTCTAGGAATTCATTATTAAGCATTTACCTTTTCAGGAAATCAAAGTGCATTTATAACACGCAGGTTGCAGGGAGCATATGTCAGCTTGAATTTTCTTCCATCTTTTAAGTGCTGCAAGTGTTGGCTGCTAGAATGTGCATCCAACCAACCACCTTCATCTGGATTATCAGTGCTTTCATGAGCCTATTAGACATCTGCTGGCTAATTGGAGCACAGGATATGATTCATTCTTAGCTAGGACAGGAATGTCCCCTTTACCATTTTTATTTTATCCAGAAGATTAAAATATAAAGTACAATAATAATTAAACAGAGACAAAACAAAACTGGATTTTAAAAATGTGATAAAACAAAAAACAAAAGACAAAAACACGTATTTCCCCTTAATTGAACACTGACAAATCTATTACAACAATAATGGCTTCCCGCTACCCTTGCAAAACAGGTCCAAAATTTATAACCTCCTACATCTATTTGCAACCCAACTGACCTGCCATACAGTACTTATATGAAAGAAAAAATAGTTAACAGGTTAAACAGCAATGAAGTTAAAGTTCAAAGCACTCTATTAACAGTGCTTTCTGTTAATAGTCTGTTATTGTATTTACTCATAGAAAGTCTGCATGGTTTCTTATTTACTACAAATAACCCTATTATTATCTCTGATCAATCCAGGATCAACTACCCTTGTATGGTTCTTAATAATGAAACCTTTCCCTAAGTTTTTAATTGGGAACTTTCCCAACAACTGCATTTCATTTCCAAAGTTCATAAGTCTCTGTTATAAATATCTCTGCAACATCCATTGTTGAATAATTCTTCTTGACAGGAATGGAAAGAATGGAAATTTGCCACATTAACATTTCTTTTTATATTTCTTGAGTTTATCCACAATAGTTTTCCTGAAGTCTTCCTTTGCTTTTGTGGTTTATTCTGTAAAGCAGGGGTCCCCAACTCCCAGGCCACAGATCAGTATCAGTCCATAGTCTGTAAGGAACTGAGCCACACAGGCAGTGGCCAATCAAGCAAAGCTTTATCTGAGCATGCGCAGGATCTAGGTTGCGCATGAAACCATCTCCTTCCTGCAACCTGTGGAAAAATTGTCTTTCACAAAATTTCTGTCTGGTGCCAGAAAAGTCGGGGAACTGCTGCTGTAAAGAATGACTGCATTTTACTGAACCACATGAAAATGTATGCAATTTCTGAATGGGAAAAAAACCTGACCAATTTAAGTTTATGTTGCCCTTTTTCCTGAAAATCTCTTTCTTATTCTTCCTTTCTTTTCTCAAGAATTATGACTCTTTCTCTTCAGTCCAGACACATACAGGTAATCCTTGACTTATGACTGATTGCTTAATGACTATTCACATTTAAGATAGCCACAGAACAAGTGCTCTATTGCTGTAAAGCACCTTAAAGACATAAATGATTGCACTGTCCCCTCCCCGTGATCACATATTGGATGCTTGGCAAAGATCTGGTGTGGCATCCTGCGGTCACATGACTATAATTTGCTATGATTTTTCCAGGTTTCTTTCATTTCCACCATTTGAACAAATGGATTCACTTAAACACCACCATGTTCACTTATCCGCTATGGAGAAAAATATCATAAAAACACTTCTGGTCAATTGGGTGCCTCAACCTATGAATGTAATGACATGATCAGATTTCCACTCCCAATTGCAGTACAAGTTGAAGACTACCAGTTCCAGTTCCTGGTTTCCTCAAATAAATAACCTTGTCTGCTGTGATAAGGTTTTTAAGTTTTGGGGATTTGTATTCCATGCCTCTCCACAGCAACTGTCAAAAGGCAGGTAGGAAGGTGTGCTTGAATCTACCTAAATTAAAACAGAGTGAAATGGGTAAAACACATCAGCTTTTTCATCTTTTATAAACATTAAGTCAGGAGCATTTTGACTTTTTGGCTTTTAATAGACTCCAAGAAATACTCTTTAAATAAAATCCATTTGATGATGACCAGAAAGTGAGCAACAGTACTTCTCCAGAAGGAGCTGTTCTTAAAGTGTACAAACTTTTGCGTTGGGTTTGAGATTTGTATGCTACCTGGAGACATTTTAAGCATTCCTTGTCTGAATGTCTGAGTTGTATTTGCATTTCAAAGAAAACACAGTTTCATTTTCTCATTTGAAGAGCAAAGCATGGAATTCTGCTTTTACTAGGAGCACTTATTTCAGCCTAGATGGTTTAATCTCTACAAATATTGTGAGAGCTACTATTTACACAGCAATATGATACAGGTCTGCTTCCCAACTTCATTTCATGTTGGAAAATGTTTCATGAGCTTGAAAAAAGATAGGAAAGCCACAGATCTTCATTGACATGTGTTTGATTTTGTTTTCATATTCCCTCTTTTGTTTTCAATAATACATGAAAAGTACTCCCATATTGCTAAATTGTAATGTGGAAAAAAGTAGCCATACCATGATGTGATGTTGACACAGCATACCTCTGTCATTTTGACAATAATTGGAAGTAAAACGGTACATTGTTTCTCATAAAATAGACATGAATCAAATTTAATTACTGCAGACAGATAGCTTATCTGCCTAATTTCTATCTAAGAACATTCAATGAAGGGAAACTCACCAATTCCATGAGTAATCAGTACTAGAGATGTTTCTCTTACTTATTAGAAAGTTTTTCTGACATTAGTCAGAATGTGCCTTCATGTAATAATCAGTTCATTATTCTGTATCCTGCATCCTTTCAGTTGTCTTTTCTCAAGTTCATTCCAGTTCTTGTGATAGAACTTACCTCCCACTTGGAAGTTTTAAAGTTCAGTCCTAGGTAGCAGCAAATTTTTCTCTCATAGGCCACAATGAAAAAATACCTGCTGCAAACTGTGCGGTGTCAGGAAGGGCATCCAGCCAGTAAATGCTCAGCTCCATCCAGTCATTCTGACTCTACCCCAAATTAAGGAATGACAGGGTTATAAAAAGGGAGTGAGTTTTTTTTATGCTTTGGAAATTGCATTTCCACTGATGCAGCCTAAAATTTACAGCTATATCACACTGCTGGATCATCTTCAGTTTTCAGTAAACTTTTTCAGAAGTTCTGTTACTATCCTATAAACTCTGCATTTAATTTTTGCTTTCCAATTCCAATTAAAACATTTATTTATTTATTTATTTAGTTAGTTAGTTAGTTAGTTAGTTAGTTAGTCAGTCAGTCAGTCAGTCAGTCAGTCAGTCAGTCAGTCAGTCAGTCAGTCAATGATCAGCAACATAAAAAGGAAATAAAAGATAACAATTACAACCAGGATTGACAGGGAGAATTGGATGTAATTACTGTATATATCAGCAACTATAAAATAAATCAACTATGGTATATCTGAACATCCATATTACAATAATAACATACTTATTTACATAACACTAATCATTCTAATCTAATAAAAGTATGCATTAAAATATATGTCCTTTAAAATTATTTAGAATTTGGCTACTGTGTGAGTGGAGTTTGGATTTGGGTCCTGGAGAAGATGGTACGCATAGAAATTATCTGCTCTTCCGAGAAATCTCTCTAATAGAGGGAGTATGTACATTGATCTGATGTCCCTGTAGAGCTCACAGCACAATAAGACATGTGAGATGTCTTCAACTTTTCTATTGTCACATGTACACATTCATATGCTATTGAGGTTTTATCATACCTGCCCTGCAGGAGTGCTGAGAGGAGAAAACATAAAGTTCCTTCATTTCCTCAGTATTTACAGGATGCAGTGTCTTATGCTTCCTGCAGAGATGTTCAAGTGACACAGAATACTGTTGTACAAATTCTTTGCAATATTGTTTATCCTGAGCAGTACTGGCACGAAAGGATCATTGTTAGTAGACTTGATAAGTCTTGGAAATTGTTCTGTCATGTTCCTAACCCTGGCATCTGACAGACAGAAGACTTTACAAGCCAATTGGTTGATTTGTCATACATTTATTTTAATTCCCTGTAGTGGTGAATCATTAAGTACTGTGACTCTTCTGGAGATTTACCCATAAACCCCCAGAGAATGTGCTTTCCTGCTGTTTTCAAGAAAGGAGGAAAGTATGTTTTGAAAACTGATTCACAATGCACCTGTTATTGTGATAAAGTGGTAGAGTTGCTACTCTCACACAAGCATTGCTCCTATTGCTGTTGACTATAGCAGCAATGCTCTCAACTGTCAATGACTAGAACATTGTTAAAATGAGGCAGGAACTTTTCCTTCCGTTCTAATTTAGTGGGATAATTTAATAGGGACTGAACTTCGAAACTCCCCAGCATGCTAAGTCTCCTGTTTGCTCACTTAGTGAGCTCACCTCCTTAAATCAAGCTGCTTTATGTTCATCTTACAGATTCTGTTTCTTCTGTAGGAAACCACTTGTATCTGACAGGACCCATGCTGAATGTGAAATAAATAGAAACTCAAACTTAGTGTATCTATGGAGGAAGGAAGAAGCTTATATTTCCTGCCTGATGTCTCCCATCATTTTTTCATCCTTAAATGGGAAAAATACGTTTATGTCATTTCTAAATAAGTATATTGCATAACATAATATGGAAAGACACTTTATAGTGAATTTAAGTTACCTTTCTGTTATTTTTCTTCTTACCTTTAGATATTTTAGACTTGCACTTCTTCCACCTTCAACTGACATCAGCTGTCTATTCCGTACAAAGTTCCATCTTGCTACTGAACCTCTTTTATTTAGTGAGATGTTCAGAACGGTTCTTTCCCAGGCAGTCTTGCAGAAAAAAACTTTAAGAGTAGATATCTGCTCTGTCAGTAAAAGTCACCAAGAAGAATGTCTAGTAAGTATCTTTACTTAATATTTTGATTTATTTTGATCTTTTTCTCCCTTTTTGGGATGTATAAGAGTCTTTTGAGTAATGTATTAACAATCTTTATAGGTTTGGGCAGAGGTGGGCAACTATGGCCCTTTTATGACTTGTGGACTTCAATTCCCAGAATTCCTGAGCTAACATGGCTGGCTCAGGAATTCTGGGAGTTGAAGTCCACAAGTCATAAAAGGGCCATAGCTGCCCACCCCTGGGTTTGGGCATAGTCACCTTTGATCCTAGGTGATTCTTCTTGCCATTTTCATGGGAAGTACACTTCCTAAATAGCAAGGACCTAGTGTAAATATTTCAGCAGGATGGTTTAAATGTGATTTCCCCCACTTGCACTTCATGTTTTATTTCCTATGCTATGTTTTGCACTGTTCCTAGGCCTGCACTGTGGGCTGGTCTAGAAGCTACAACTAATCTAATATATAGCAGCTCAACTGCTGATTGGAATACTGTAGCTACATCACACCTATACCAAATCTGTATTACCTGTTGTTCTGATAATAAACAGATTCAAGATGATGAAATTAGTATTATTCCTAAAAAGGGAGCATGTTATCTTAGCATCCTCATGTATGTAATATTCCTGGCACTTAATGTTCTCAAGGTGAGGTCCTGCATTCTCTACCGCGCACAGCATAAGTAAACCTTCTCAGCAGTCCTCTGCAAAACATCACTCCAATGCAACCATTTACTCCTTTAAAAATCCATTCTTCTTTTTAGGGGGGATTTTCACCAATCACCTTATTTTTATTAATATTTTTAGTCCTTTTAATAACTAGTGTTCTAGCACTGTTTTATAGCATTAACTCTTTCTGGTATTAATGCAAATGAGAAATGGTATACAAATATTTAAATAAATAGAAATTGAATTTACTTTCCTTGCCCCATTTACTTGAGAGGCTAAATGCTTGAATAGTTTTTCACACTCAAGATAATGAAGGAAGCACTTCTGATGCCACTGCAGAGAAAAACTGCAGGGCTTTGGTTGTTATAGGCTTCATTTAAATGAGGAAAGGAAGAAGATAAATATTTTCTCTGTGGGTTTTATGATGATGCAATTTCCTGGGTTAATATTTATTGTGGTGAACCTTTTCAAAGAGCAGTCAGGACATACAATTTGGCCAGTTGAATGTCTATAACTTCCATCCATCCATAACTGTGCTTAATTTATTTGAAAGTGTTTTGCAGTGACTTTCGTCCATGGAAACTATGGTTACTATTTTTGAGAAGTGTTCTTTCACCCAAATATTAGCCAGGAAATTTAACAATCCCATGCTTGGGATTTCTCATGCGAGTGCATTGAACCTAGGACCTCATTCATGCAAAACTGTATCTGACTTCAATGGCAAAGGTGCATCCAGCGAAAATGTTCCACTTCTTGTATATAACATTACTATAGTTAGAAGCAGACTTTTTTTTCCCTTAATATTCTTCAAGTTATTATTCCTACCTGTAGTTGATTGTAAAATGGAAATGTAATGATTAATAATTTCAGACATTGACAGAATATAAATTGATGGTGCCCAAGGCATTTTTATACAATAAAGCTATCGAAGACTCTAAATATGAGCTTAAATTTTCTTTTCTTGCATATAAGGCCATTTTTTTCCTCATGAATAAGATGGACTGAGGCCAACTATATTTTGCCTCAGGCATTAACCTAGCCAGTGCTTTCTCCTGCATCGATCTATTGCACTGTAGATCAGATTTATAGTGTATAACTCTGTTTTCCTTTTGGATATGTATTGTATGTCTGATCTATAATTAAACAAATGATCTGTTTATTTTTTTTAAAAAATATGCCCCTTTAACTTCCATTTTAATGCAGATTGAGCAACAAGTAAGAACAAAAACAAAAATTTTACCAAATAAAATCACCAGATAAATATCAATATCATAATCTTTTCTGTTTTCACCTGCAACTCCTGACTACTCTCTTGGCACTTTAATGCTTTACATCCTTTTATCTTACAAGCCAAGGACTCTTGTGTCCTTAATCCCTCAAGATTTATCATGAACCAGAATTACTTTAACACTTGTGCCAACTGCTCCAAGTAAATCCCATTCATCTTCCCTCTTTCTTTATCTTTGTGCTTTCCCCTTCACTTTTCATTTTAAAACATGTTTCTGCAATTTCCCTCTTGAGAGATAGATGAATCCTATTCATCAGGCTTTTATAGAATGGCTACCTCACACATTGCATTATAACCATAATAAAAAGTGTATCACGTGGAAAGTCTTCCTTACCTAATACTTTTAAAACTTTGTTGCATTGTTATTTGACTTCAGTTGTAATATTAATCTTAAATGTTGTATTTTAATCCGAAAGATATAAATATATAAATGAAGTTTTTAATAATTCTAATATAAAAAGGCTTTGGAGAATAATTTTTGACTGCCGAAACAAACAAAACATTTCAATGATATTTGTTTTTACATAAATTAAAATTCTGTAACAAATATACATTGTTTTGTAGGGTGGAATACAGATAAGTCTGGGAGATGTGTCCTTTTCAAATGAGATATCTACTCTGTGGTATAATTTGCTATCTTCTAAGCACACTGCTGGAAAAAGGAATGTGAAGCCAAAGAAGTATTCAGTCTTTGTGGCAGCCAATCCATCACCTGGTTCCTTGGTAAGTTGATTGCTAGAAAAAAAAGTGGCACCAGTTAAATAGTTGTGCTACATTATTATGTGTAGCCTCCAGTTGCTATATGTCTCATTATCATAAATAGAAGTATAATTAGGCTTCCGGTTGACTTTTCTGCTTGCAGCAATGGCTAAACAAACAATGAACGTTATAAATGAATTGATAAATCTTGATTATGAGGAAAGCAATAAGCCAGAGTTCCTTGTCAGAATGTATTGCTAAAAAACAGAAGCAAATGCAGTCAAGCTTATGTACAACTTCTTCATTGTAAGGAACAGAGTGCTTATCTTAACATTCAAACATTATTTGTTGGAGTACAAGGGAATCACATGTAAAATGCATATTGCCACATTAAACTTTCTTTGTCAGTAGTTTGCTCAGTTGTATAATGGTTGAGGGGTTTGAGAGGACTGCAGAGACTCAGGTTCAAGTCCATTGTCAGGCAACTCACTGACTAATTTTGGACCACTTTTTATCTTTTAGTCCAACCTACATCATTGTACGTTGTTCATTGTACATTGAACATCTACAAGCAAATAAAGGTATAACCAGTAGTCAACATGAGTTCATCAAAAATAGATCATGCTAAACAAATCTTATTTCATTCTTCGACAAAGTGACTAAATGCTGTGGACATTGTATACCTAGATTTCAGGAAAACATTTGATAAAGTGTAATGCAACCTACTTCTTCGGCAAGCTAGAAAAATGTGGTATGGATAGCATCACCACTAGATGTGTCTGTACCTGACTGACAAATCATACTCAATGTGTAGTCCTCCACAGAACTACATCTACATGGAGGGAAGTAAGCAGTGGGGTACTCCAAGCTTCTGCTTTTGGCTCAATACTCTTAAATAAACGATCCAGATGTGAGACTAGAAGGAAAACTCATAAAAATTTGGAGATGACACCAAGCTGGCAGTAATAGCCAACACACCAGAAGACAAGCTCAAGATCAAATAGATCTTGACAGACCTGAACACTGGGCCCTATATAACAAAAACGAATTCAGCATAGATAAAAGTAAGGTTCTACACTTAGGCAAGAAAAACCAACTGTATAGATAAAGATTAGGTGAAACATGGCTTAGTGCCAATAATTGTGAGAGGAATCTTAGACAATCACTTAAATATGAGCCAACAGTGTTGTGCAGCAGCCAAAAAAGCAAATGCAATCCTACTCTCAATCCTTTCCAACTCTGGAAAAAGTGCAGAGAAGAGCAACAAAAATGATTAGGGAGCATATGAAGAATGACTACAGGAATTGGGTATGTTTAGTCTAATGAAAAAAAGGACTAGGGGAAACACGATAGCAATGTTCTAATATTTGAGGGGCTCCTACAAAGACGATGGGGGTCAAACTATTTTCCAAAGCACCAAAAGGCAAGATGCAAAACAATGGCTGGAAACTAAGGAGAAGCTACATAGAACTAAGGAGAAATTTCCTAATGGTGAGAACAATCAACCAATGGAACAACAACAATGGAAAAATGAAATATCAATCAATCAAATAAATCAATAAATGAAGAATAGTGAAATATAACTGCTCTTTCTAAATGCTATGTTTCTGCTGGCAAGCAGCTGATTATTTTTTTCACAGAATGTAACGTAAGTGTTTATGGTCTACTCTATTTTCCCCATTTAAATTTCATTATACTTGAGCGTCTATTCCAAACAACTAAATGTAGATTAATACAGTACTTCATTTACACCAGACTTCAAATTAGTGAATATATTTTTCTGTTTCCTTTGAATGATAGGGAATGAAAACAAAATATTGTTTTAAAGAATGTATATGCAAAATCTAGGTCATACGAATCTCATAATACAGACAATTCCCAGTTTTAAACTAGAAAATCAATTGTAAAATCTGGATTAATGATTTGTAAATGTCAGAAACCAATATAACTTGTTGCTTTTGCCTATAATTTGTGAATTAGAACTTAGTCTTTAGTGATCTGCATGTCAATATTTTTGTTGTCTATGCTATTTTTGAAAATAATTTTATTTATTATATTTAAATATAAAGTTTTGTTATAGGGTATAATTTTCACAATATATTTAATGAATTCTAAGATGATATCATGCAGCAATTCAAGGTTTAAATCAGTCTTGAGTGTTTCATGATGTAATCCTACTCTCTGTAGATACGTGTGTGCTTACTTTTATCTACGCTGAATTCGTTTTTGTTATATAGGGCCCAGTGTTCAGGTCTGTTATTAAATTTAATCTGAAAGGTTTCAGCAGCTTTGTGATTTTTCTGGGCTCGGTCCATCTACACTATCATTACAGACCAGGTGTATTACTGGCATTACTTCTTACATATTTTAGTATAAGTAGAGCTGCTTTCCATGTCTTCGTTAGGATGCAGTCTCAGCATTGTTGGAAAGGACATCAGCTGAGCTACAAGCTGTAGAACAAGAATTGGCAGAGAACGAAGAGGAAGGGGAGGAGGAGGAGGAAGAGGAGGAGGAAGAGGAGGAAGCACAGGATACTCAGGAAACACGAAGTTCTGAGGAAGACTGGTAAGATGAACTATTTTTATTTATTGGTCGTTCACAAAATAGCATTTAAAAATATGAAGCATAAAAAAGCAAAATACAGAAAATGTTGCTTGACCTCCGCAGTAGGTAGGTAAGAAAGATAGGAAGAAAACCTATTATTCCTTAGGCAATTTAGGGAGGAATATTTTTTTCTGCTGTTTTGCTCAGTGACAGAAACACAACACAAATATTATAGGGAAAGCAACAAGGAAAATAATGAATAATATTAGTTTCTATGCAGCTTGGGGAATGGAGCCATGCTGTTGTCTCCAATCCAATGTTCGGGTTCTGTGTTCTTGTCTCAAAAGGATACAGCCTGGTGAATATGCATAATCATTCTCCTTAAATAGGAGCCAGCAAGTAAGGGGAGCGTGCATCTAGCTAACAAAATATAGACTATGTGCAAAAGGTATGAACTGGGGATGTATCCTGTCTATATTATGCTTTTGCTTTTGTTATCATGAGCTTCCTTTATTTTTGATCAGAACAAACATTCATATAGCATCTTACTTCTGGTAAATTTAAGCTGGGCATGAAGGCAGTAGACTTTTCTTGCCTCTTCTCTTTTAAGAAATGCTTATTGGTAGCATTTGTTTCTGAAAATGTGAATCAGTTGTTTCTAAGCAGCCTTTTGTTAACCACAATTTGGAATGTAGATCTTTCATGAAACATATAATCCAAAATGTGTCAATTTACTTGGATTAACAAGTTTTTATATAGAAACATCCTAGCTTCCCCCCTCCCCCCCAATTTACCATGTGGAGAATTAACTGGGTTAAAAAATACAGGTGCAAGGTGTATAAAAAATACAAACTTTAAGCTACTTTGGTCAAAGTGTATGTTTCAATGAATCCCTAAGTGAACAAAAGCTGACATGATCTCAACATGATATCATTCTTCAAATTTCAATGTATTCCTACCATTTGTGTGCTCCATATTCAGAGTAAGAAAAAAAGGTATGTGACAGGTGCAGACATTTCATTATAGTTGATTCAATTTTTGGACCTTCCTTTTACTGTAAAGTTGTTTGAAAGATGATTGACTTGTTGGGTTATAATTAGCTGGGAGAGATATTTTCACAGATGAATGGATGCTCTGACTTTCTATCCACTCAGGATATTGTTATTATTTTATCTATTTGCAATATCCATGGGCTCCACCAAGTGACTATGCAGAGGGTGCAATATCTATCTTCAAAAATAACCTTCAATATTAAATTTACATTTAATTTTATGATGTTCTAACACAGTAAATTTATAACAGATCCTTCTGCTTTTTCCAAAGAAGAGAATACTGAAACCATAGAAATGTTTCAGTAGAAGTTTACCTCTGGCGAAAATAAGTTGTTGATAATGTCACATTAATTGTATGAATATTAGGTTCCAAATATGCTGGTATTTTATTTTCCAAATACCTTAGTAAATTAAGGATAGATTTCTTCTCACAGGGTAGGAATATTGGCAGAAGTATCCAGAGAAATGAATGAAGAGAATAAAATCAAAGACACCAAAGAAGACAAATGCACAGATAGCAAGAGAATGAGCTTTAATTTGGAACAGGCAGGTGGTACTGAACATGAGAAAGGCAACAACTTTACAGAAGTGGATCTCAACAAAAAAACAATAGTATCCCCAATACTGGTGAGCATTTTAAATTACATTTCCTATATGACCCAGAATGCCTTTTATAGCTGAGCCATAATATTTGTCATTGCAAACTTCTCAAAACATTTTCAGATAAATGTAGAAACTTAGTATAGCATTTAATATATGTAGTGATTTTGAATTGGTACTGTTTTTGTTGCATAGTACAAAAAAGAGTAGCAGCAAGGAAAAAAAGTCCTTAGAGCAGCCACAGAAAATATTTAGCTTGCTAGTTAACATTTAATGCTTATTTGTTCGATAATTCATGTTTAATAATGGATGTTTTAAATATTTAATAAGTTATTTAATGTTTAAATTATACTAGCATACACACTTAATATTTTTATTTTTGCAACTGTTTTGAAGTTTTAATAACAAGGGCCAAGCTCTTAAAAACAGTGCTAGAAAGGGGGGCGGGCGGTTATATATGTGATGGATGGATGAATCAGTTCATTTTCAGTCCATGAACTATAAATTTTACATATGTTCATTTCTAAATCTGTTCTGCCCTACTCCTCTTTAAACTGAATTTTTAAAAAATAATCCATATGAAAATCTGTATTTAAATATTTACATTTGGCTATATTTTTCTAAAAAAACCATATTTTATATGATTTGCGAATTTTTTTTAAAGCCTGGAATTTAGAACTGCAATACAACATTTAGAAAATTATGGAAATTTAATTCACCAGAAAGTGTGAATCAATTTGTTTCTCTTCAAATGTACATTGTTCAGGCATTCCGTATGCTAGAATCCTAAATACTGATATTTAATCCAAGAAACATATTATAGGTAGTCTTTGACTTGGTACCAGAATTTCTGTTGCTAAGCAAGGCGCTGGTTAAGTGAGTTGTGCCCGATTTTACGACCTTTTTTGCCACAGTTGTTAAGTGAATCATTGCAGTTAAGTAAATCATGCAAGAGAATCTGGCTTCTCCCATTGACTTTGCTTGTCAGAAACTGGCTTGGAAAGTCACAAATGAGGATCACATGAAATTAGGTTAGTTAAGTCTTTTCTTGGGGAAAGGCTGTAGTCAAAAATAGAGTTCAAGCATTGATACAAAAGTCCTACATTCGGTCCATATGACATTCCTAAAAGTGCAATAATAATCACCATTTAAAAGAAAGCCTAGTTGTAGTTTTAAATGGACAAGGGATTTGTTTGTTTAGAATGAATTCATTTTAAGAATCCTGAAAAGATTTTTTTTCTAGTATATGGTCCTTTATCTAGTGAAATATACAGTGTCCAGATAAAAGAAAGATTTTTGTGGAGCATTAAATGTCTGTCTACTTTTTATTTCTTAAGAAATTAATGTATTTTGAGCCTTGGTTTTTTGGTTTGAATTTAACTTAGTGTCCTAATGGCATAAATTGATATAATTTGGGGAGCAGGTCTTGGTTTTCAATATTAGAAATGATGTATAATATATCCACAGGTTGATAGAGAAACAAATACAGAAGATAGGATTGAGTGTGTAGCTATACAACCCAAGGACAAAGCCAGCCTGAAGTCTCAACAGCATCCTTTTGTCAGAAACAGCATGATAGTACGTTCACAGACGTTCTCTCCAGGCGAGCGGAACCAGTACATCTGTAGGGTAAGATAAAGAGTGTTCTCAATGAACTCTTGCTAACTAAAGACTCATTTAATTTCTTTGGCAGTGGCTCATTGCTGGCAGTGGGCCACCTCTAGAGAACTTAGTGTCCATCTGTCAGCTATGAGGCTATGAAAATTATTGCTTTCACCTATAAAATAATGTGTAACTTCTCAGCTATTTGGATGTTAGCTTTGTATTAAGCTAGAATAAAGTTGTCGCAATTAACATTCCTTCACTCTTCCCGTCTTCCACTTACTGACATGCAAACACATGGTTTGAACAGGATGCTAAGGCATGAATTGTTTAACCATGATTTACTGAAGACAATTGCAATTGACTGTGTTTGCACCATATGCTACATTTAGTGGAATATATGAACCCAGTCATTCTTTCTCAATAGTCATGTGTAGAATTGGCTTGCAGACGCCAAAAATAATTTTTTCGTGGTTTTTTTTTTACTGTTGATACCCATTTCAGTGCAAATATTTATATTCATTTTGCTATTTTATGACATGTCTAGCAGCATGCAATTTTTGAAATATGATTTGCCAAATGAAAATAGCACTTCTTCTAAGAATACTTTCCCAAAGAAAGAAGGAAGAAGGTTCAACAAATTAGAATCTATCTGCTTTTTAATTTCCTGACAAAAATGAAATACTTCAAATAAAGTTGCTGTGTGCATGCGTAATCTGAAACAATATGTTCATACGACAGGGACAAAATATCAAAAACTCTATGCTGCAGATGAGTCATCAAGTAATCTGCTTTTCAGTATTTTCAACATTTATTTGCCCTCCAATGCAAAAGACGGTTCTTCATTGTAGTCTGTGAATCGTTCCTATTGGTATCTGGCCTTGCACAGTGCTCTTTTGAGAATTTTCTAAAGCTGAAAGAGACTTGTGTATTTGTCTTCCATTGTCCTTGCAGTTTATCTTTGACTGCAGTAGTAGTACCCCTCCAGGAGTTCTCTGACACTGTAACAGCAATTTTTTCTCCTGATACACACATCTACTTAAAGGAAACCATGTGATCGAGACTTGACTCTCCTCCTCAGGCTGTTACAAAACAGAATGGGAGGAATTGATCATTTCCTGATAGGGCTTCATAGTGGAATGAATTCTTCCATCCAAACTCCCTCCAGTACCAGGATGATCAATCAGTCTCAACCAAGATCTGTAAACATCAAATACTCAAATGTAAGAAGAAAAAGACAATCAAGGACAATCACTTTGTATGGTTCAGATTTTCTGTATAGCCACCTGCCTCCTTTTATTTGTGCTTTCATTTATTTAATAATGGGAATCCTTGTTAGACAAAACCTCTTTTTCCTCTCAGATCACTTGCACATTTCATTCCATACTGGAAGCAATTTGGGATTTATCTGGTATGCGTTCATAGCAATCAGTCCAGTTGAAAAATAAAATTACTAATGACAACACTCACCGCATATATCATCCCCTTGGGCCATGTCAATCCTAGATCACACCCTTCCAAGTAGGATGCTACATTGTTGCCATTAGTAACACAAAAAAACAGTAGTGTTAACAGCATCTGCCTCATTAAAGATCAAGAAGTGAATATTTTTTCTGTATATTAAGTTATTGGTGTTTGAACTGTGTTGTTTTATCAGTATTACATTAATTATCTCTTATGCAAAACTGTAGTCAAATCTAACAGATATGCAGTGGTTATTTTTGCTAGTTTTAATACCAGTAGCTTTTTTATTTTAGCTCTACCCACTCTGTTTCAATTACTGTCTGTTCTATTTTGACAGCTGAATAGAAGCGATAGCGATAGCTCAACATTGGCCAAAAGAACTCTCTTTGTGAGAAATTCCACAGAACGGCGGAGCTTGAGAGTCAAAAGGGTAGGTATTGTTTGATCATTTATTACTCATTTCTTTATTTTCATCAAATATATTCAAACTTATAATAAAGGTTTATTTATAAAGCATTGCTTTGCATGTTACACAGATTGATGTGCATGCATGTACAATCTCTTATTGAAGATGTAGATCGTTATCTTGCCTCTTCTCTTATTCCAAGGTTGTATTCTGGTAAACAAAAAACAACGATTTATTTCTTTGAGAACAAGAAGTAGCAAAGGAAGTTTCTTGACATTGCATTTCTGCTTTTCTGAGAACTTTCATAGTAAAACTGGGCATCTAAAGGATTTTTCCAGGGTAGGAGTGAGGCTGCAATATAGGGGATGATCATAACTTGTAGTTAATTTGCCACAATATACTTTACAGTTGTTTTTGTATGTGGACATTTTTCTGGCAATCTTTTTCATAAATTTGACAATGCAACCCAATTTGTCAAGAAAAATGTAGGACTTGGACACAAAAAAACTGCTACATGTTAGTTCAGATCTTTGTCCAAGTTCACTATTGTTTATCCTTTCTCCCCAGAGATATAGATTGGAATCTTTCCCAGCCTTACTTGGAGAGATTAAGGATTAAATCTAAGCATGCAAAGCAAAGACTCTGCAACTGATGGAAATCTTTCCTTCAAATTAGACATTTATCACAGCAGTCAGTGGCAAATTCTTTTTAGTTTAATTTAACTTTATATTTCAATTTTGAGGCCACCTGATTTCACCGCAAGTCTGGACAATTTATAATTAAAAAGAATCATAAAGACAACTACATATATCAAAGAAATTGAGGTGGAGAGAAATGTTCTTGACCAGAATTTTAACTTTCACATTGTTCATCAGACACTTTTTCTCATCAACTAACAAATTTATACTCGTAGCTATTCTTAGAATTGTGTTTTGTTCCTGGAACTGTGAATGTTATATCCTCTTACACATTTAACTAAAAAAGGGAGAGATTGTCTCAGATAGTGTCAGAGAACAGGCCTGTCATTTCCAGTTCTAGTGACATAGCAGATTGGAGAGCTGCTACTAAGATTAATAGATCCATCTCAAAACAAGGTATATTCTTTTATTTTTTTCAGATTGTAAAGTTAACATCCAGACAATTTACTTCCAAATATATCCCAAGGAAACTGATATGTCCTCAAACAATGTTTTATTGTTATAGATTTATGCTTAATTTCAATTACATGGAACCCTTCCAGATTAGTTAAAAGGCAGAACAAGCTAATCACTTTGAGCACCATTTGTGAAGGAAAGGTGGGATGAAAATTTAACAAAAAAATAAATACATTCCTTGGCTTTCTTTAATTAAGCAATGAGGTATTTAGCACAAATTTACCCATAGGCTTGCTTTCTAAAATAAATTCAAGAGTTTCATAACTTTATAACAGAATTCTTTACAATACACAACAATACATGAATTTCAGAGCAGCCACGTATTGTACAGCCAGCGTTAAGAGAGAGAGAAGCAACCCTGAAAATCCAAAATTTTCTTTCTTTCTTAACACTATATATGCATATACCAGAACCTTCCCTCAATCTTTAATAAATTGCTGCTAGAGTTGCACTGCTAAATTGCAGTGTTCCCACTAATATTTCCCTAAGCAAAAACCGTTCTAGGAGACTGGGTAGCAGACACAGAATTAATAAGAAAAGTCCTTTGGCCATTGTTTCATTTACTCCAGCATTCTGTCATGGAATGGCCCATGGAAAGCTTACAAGCTTGGACTGCAGGGCTATAACTCTCTTTTCCTGATGTTGTCCAACCAAATGCAGCTAAGGCATGCTGCTTAAGGATTCAGGGGGTAATAAAAAACTATGCCTATTCATGGTCGTTGATTGCATGATCCTCCGTGAACCTGTCTAATCCCTTTTAAGAAATCTTCCAATTTGACAATCTTCCATAACTGCTAGCAGTGAATTCCAGTACAACTATTATAAAATATTGTCCTCCGGGTGGTCCTGAATCTTCTCTATAACATTATATAACATTTTTTCCTCTCCCATAAATAGGCATAGCACTAGAGGCCTTTCTATGATGGCGGGTAGAATTCAGAATCTCTCAGCTTTTGTCCTGCCATTTGCTATAGTAATGTATTTTACTTGCATGCATTAGCAAGATGTTCACAATCTTTTTTTAAAAGTCAGCCGCCTTTAAAATCTCAGAGTTAGAAATATTACAAGCTTCTATTTTCCCCCCCTTAGGGATACCCTTCATCATAGTTGTACCAAAAATGTTGTGTTTTGATATTGAAATAAAGTTTAAAGATGTTGCAGAATATGTTTTTACTGTGTTATCTCATTTATGTTGCCTAAGGAAAATTGTATGACAGGTTCTTATCTTATAGGGGCTGAAAAATATTCCAGTTGTATAAAAACAACTGCAGAATAGCCGCCCCTTAGAGTTTAGTCTGCTGCAACTTCATTTGTACAAAAATAGTATCTTAGTGCCCATAGCAAATTTGTTATGTTTCACATGAGTATTGGGCTGTTCTCATGCAGTGCATGTATTATATTATATTCTTATTTTATGGAATTCCTGACAACTATAGCCTACTTGCCAGTCCAACTTGCGAAGAGCAGTGCGAGAGCGCCTGGTGCGTACTTCTCTTGACTTGGAGCTGGATCTTCAGGCATCCCGGACCCGTCAGAGTCGCCTGAATGATGAACTACAGACACTTCGTGCTCTTAGGCAGAAGTTAGAAGACATGAAAGTAACAGGGCAGACGGACCTTCCTCCATGTATTTTGGAGGATGAAAGATTCCAAAAGCTTTTGAAGCAAGCTGAAAAAGAGGTATGAACATGAACTAACTAATAAAGAGGCAAATGTATGATGTTTTAGTGTCTGCATGTACAGTTTTGACCAAGTGTTCATATAAAATTGAAATGCTCAGAATGTATACTATCTCTATATTATTGGTAATTTTTTTTCCTACTGCCAGGTACTGATTTGCATGGGGTTTCAGTGGTTTTAAATGTTCAGAAGTCACTGGCTTATTGTCTTAGAAGAGTGCAGGCATTTAAACAAATTGTTTAGAAAAATGGATACTGGTTTAATGTGGTAAAGCATCCCCCCCCCCCACATTCCATTCAGCCTACAGTGGGGTTTTTTTGCTGAGAACTTTCCTGTTTTTTCTAACACTTCAGAATTTATTAGTATAGTTCAAATTATTGAGTCCAATAATCATATGGTGCTAAAAATTAATTTAGTAATTAAATGCCTTTGGATATCAATAATCACAGAATTGCCTTAGGAGGATTAATTTTAGATGTTACAGGGTCTCAGGAGGTTTCTATATTTAACCAAGAGGATAGCTATTTTTTGGGGGGGGGAGAGAAAGTTATTTCCATTCTGCCTTTAAGAAACTGCTTCCTAGTTTTTAAAAACATTTAAGAATATGGCAGAACTGGTTGTAAAACTGTTGCATTCTAAATATAGAAAGATCATGTTGCCTCAAATTTAGGAAAACCAGATAATTAAAGCTGGGTTTTTTATTAAACAACTTTCTACTTCTATAAATGACTAAATATCTACAAAATCCACAAGACGTTTTAGATTCTTAAGGAATTTCATTATAACCAAACTCACATCATCTTATTTATTTATCCAGTTTACATAGTTGCTCATATCACAAAACAATATACAGTGGTGTACAATGAAGCTAAAATAATAAATATCTAAAATAATAGTCAATGTTGATTATTTAAAAGGTTAAAAATTATAAAAACAGAGCTAAAACTAAGAAATAATAGACAAAGAGATATTAATAGTAATGGAACTACCTCACTAGTTCATCCATCTCCTTGGGGTCCCCAGGCCTGCTGGTGTAACTTGAGGGACTTTCAGAAGCATAAGGCCAATCTCACCTCAGGGATGAAGATCCCACAATGTGGATACCACAGCAGAAATAGTCCACTGCCAAGGGCCCACCAAATGTTGTTCCCTAGACAGTGGGGTATCATCAGCCCCATGATGGCCTGTTGCCTTGTCCACACCTCATTTACTTTATGAGAACAGGATCTCTGGTTTTAAAATGACTGGACCAGATTGGAAATGTACACTCTTACAGTGCAACATCTGTTTTAATATTTTCATGGTCATGTATATCTCTGAATAGTTAAAAAGCACTCACGTAGTGCCATCTTCAGTTGTAATTTGTTTACAGAAGCAAGCCTACCATGGAAATACTGTACATTATCCTAATCTGGCAAAATCTTGCTTAATAAGAGATTTGCCTTTCTGGCAGGAAAAGGAATATAAACATTTTTGCTGATATACTTAAAGTGAGTTTGACATATAGGCGATCCAGAACACAGGTAGTCCTCAATATACAACTATAATTGGGATCAGAATTTCCATTGTTATACAAGGTAATTGTTAAATGAATTGTGCCTGAGTTGATGATCTTTTTTTGCCATGGTGCTTAAGGAAATCACTGCAGTTGTTAAGTGAACCAAGTGTTAAGTGAAGCCATTTTCCTCCATTTACTATGCTTGTTGGAAGCCAGTAAAAAGATCATAAATGGTGAGCATATGATCCTGGAATAGTACAACTATCGTAAATACATGCTAGTTGCCAAGCACTCAGATTTTGATCACATGACTAGAGGCATTTTGCAGCGGTCATAAGTGTGAGAAATGATTATAAGTCACTTTTTTCACAGCCATTGTAATTTTGAATGGTCACTAAACAAATAGATGTAAATTGAGGATTACCTGTACACCTCTATATTCCATACTCAATATTTTTAAAAGTATCTCCTCCCGCATATCCTCATCTCTTGAAACCTAGATTGGGTTTTTCTTTGTTAGTTAGTTTGTTTGTTTAGGAAAAATTTTACCCTGTCCCATGCCAGACTGGCTTATTTGGACAGAAACGATAAAGAAAAAATAATTCCCTGACATGACTTCATCAATATGAGATTATTCTTAATCTGCACTGATGATGCCCACAATCATTTTAGGTCAAAGGCCCAGTGAAATAAGATTATTTTCCTATGTTATAAAAAAAAAACCAGGAAAATGGAGCCTCATGATCTTATGGCAGAAGAAAATTCCATAAAATGGGGGCTACTATAGAAAATTCCTGTTGTCTTACCCACAGTCCATTTAAGTTATGAGAAGAGGAGTCTCTCTCTTTGTAAATGACCAGACCAGATTGGAAATGCACATGATAGCAGGGCCAGATCTGTTTTAAATATTTTCATGGTCGTGTACTGCTTTGAATAGTTCAAAAGCATTCCTAGGGTGCCCTCTTCAGTTGCAATATGTTTACAGAAACAGCCTACTGCAGAAATACTATACCTATTACAATGCCGAAGTCAGTAAACACTTTAAAGGCTTTTAATATACTAATATAAAAAGTTAAGGGAAGTATTAAAGCAGTGGAGTATTCTATTAACACAAAAGGAGGGCATTTAACAAAACCAATCAACATCACAGGGAGCAGATAAAAAATATAATTTAGACTGTGTATTATATACTTTTAATTGTCAGAAAAAAAATTAAACCCTTAGCTAAAAACTGATTATAAAATTCCAGTGGTATTTTTTTCTTAGCTCATCCAAAGGATAATTAGATAGCTTATTGGGTATGCAAAGCCACTTTGCCGTGCAAGGTTTTTTGTGACCTGCTGTCTTTTTTAGATGCTGTTAATCCATCTACAGGTGCTAATAGGAAGGGTTGGCATGCTAATAGAGCTTCTATTAGGGGCATAACTTTCTGGTGTACAAACATTTGCCCACGGATTACAGTGGATTAAAGAAACTGTCAAGAATTAGGTAGACCTTTTTTATTCATCAACATCTTAATTAAATCAGACCAAAGTCATTTGAATTGCAGTGCCAAGATGCCTTTCCTTTTATTTGTGCTGAAGATGGTTTGCAAGGTGCTTACTTAACTCCTCTATAATATTATGAGTTATTAAATGTGGCTTGTAATTTTTTTTCATTAGGCTGAACAGTCAAAAGACAAAAAAAAACAGGGATTAAATGCAGAAAAATTGATGAGGAAAGTTTCAAAAGACGTGTGCCGATTACGAGAGCAAAGCCAGAAAGTGCCATTACAGGTGCAGTCTTTCAGGTGAGGAGAATTTGTATCTCTATGAGTTTTGTAAAACTGTTCAGCAATTTCTACATTGAAATTTTCAGTTTAACTATGCAGCATATCGTTCTAGAATTAGACAGCTCTGTGGTAAATTTCACTAGAGTTTCAATCATTTACAAGATAAATTAATTCAAATGTTCTGAAGTAAATGATCAAAGATCCAAGATTTAGCTTTGGAGTCCCATGTCCTAAACCAACTCTTTGGATAAAGAACTAGTTTTTTTCAATAAAAGTAAAATACTCTTGTTTTATGTCTATTGTCTATTAAAAATAAATTCACTATAATTTTCCTGAAATACTTATGGGGTGGGCAAAGGATCATATCAGTTCTGCATATGAATGTGATAAATTGAATGTGTAGGTATTATATTCAGAGATAGCTTAAAGAAATATATCTACTATTTCTATCGGGAATAGGATTAGAGAAAAAAGTTTGGCCGATTTTAGGACATTTCTGTCCAGTTAACAAATTATTTACACCAGAAATTATTTACACTTGTTTTCAGCATCCTGACTGTCAATAGTCAGTTTTTCCTAAGTAATTCACCTGGCTAGAAACTGATGACCAGAATAAAGTTCTATCTATCTATCTATCTATCTGTCTGTCTTTCTCTGATGAAATAGTGGTTACAGTTCAAATTAAAACCATGGCCATTTTGGTTATTGGAAAACTTCCCTGACCTCTTCCCTAAATGTTAGCCAATCTTCTTTGTAACCACTAGATAAGGGAACTGTTACTGTACAGGATTAGGAGAGCCTATTCACAGTAAATGCTTTTACCTCTCTGACCCAGCCCCCAAGGTGGCTGGAAAGAAATGTTCTAACAATGGATCTTCCATCTTGGAGACAGCCTGCTGCTGAGGAGGCTGAAGTCAGACCAAGGTAATTTGGCAGGAAAGTAGTATTTTCCATCAGAAAACAGAAAAAGACTGAAATGAACTTCTTATGTCAGATAAATGTCTTCAGAGGGTCAGTGACCTGCAGTTGGCCCACTGCAGGACTGTTCCTTTCCATCTGACCATGGAGCTCTGTATGTCCATGGCCATTTCTGCTTTGGCTGCTACAGAGAACAGAAGAGTTGGAGTGTTTTGTTTTGATTTTGTCTCAAGAAATACTGTCCTTGTATAAGTTTCTTCTATGATGTCACTAGTCCCATTGGTAAGCTCCAGCTGGAAAATTGTCCATTTCCCGACTCAGAATTTGGTGTGGTTGTTCCCATGAAAACAAAAGATGGGATCTGGTCATTGCATCCTTCTAGATCATAGTGATTGGCTGCCTTCAGAATTACCAAGCAACTCCGAGATCTGGTCAAAATTGTTCCCTCCATGGTGGATCTAGTCTATCAAAAATTCTTATTCCCATTACAACCTTAAGGCTACTACCTGCATCTACTTTCCCCCAATTCCACTCCCCCTCAACCACACCCTTCTTGGCTAATGAACCTATCTAACCACTGTCATTCCCCACCATAGATCCTAGTAACTAGCCTCACCATCCATTTCTACATCTGCATTCCTCTCTTTCCATGTCCAAAAAGCCCATTCCCAAGTGGGCGGTTGATCATGCCTGCCAACGCTCCAAGTCTGCACACAGAAAAAAAGACCACTTCAGTAAACAGGAGCCTGGACCAGATCCCAGACAGCAAAATATCTGAGCCCTAGCAGGGCTCAGGTGAGTGACTCAAGCTGTCTCTGTTCCAATTGCCCCAGCTCTCTCCAGCCATATCTCAGGTTTCTACTCTGCACTGCTTCTTGTAGCAAAAGTGGAGCAAAGGTAACAAGGGACTTAGTGGCATTGCTGCACTGGATCTACTCTGTTCTCATGCATAAAGATAGACACTCTAGTCCAGGGCTGTCAAACTCCCGGCCTATGGGCCGGATGCATCACGTGCTGGCCACGCCTACACCCAGTTTAGCAAAGGACAAAGAAGTCTCGATACATCACATCATGCCACAGTGATAATGTGAGTTTGACACCCCTGCTCTACGCAAACCTTGCCATCATTACCAGCTAGCGCATCATTACCAGCTAGTGCCAGTTAAGGTAGACAAGAACCTCCACCACCACTGTTACATTCCAAATGCTGCCCAAGTACTTAACAGAATCCAATGTGGTGAGTAATGAAGCTGACTCTGCTGGATTGCATATCTCATTGCACCCTCCTCTATATTGACTTCCCTGGTTACTAAGTGCCTCCTGCCTCCGTCTCTTCTGTTTCCTTGGAATGCAACACACTTGTAATCTCATTTTTTTCATCCATCCAATCTACAAAGCAGACTTCCAAAACAAATCCCAACTCTTGGTGTGTAAAATCAACATTTATGTTCTTATTCACCATGTTGTCACCAGGTAGGAAGAGAAACTATGGAAGCCCTTGGTAGAAGAAAGGCACATTGTGTCTCCCATAACTTTCTAAACTAGTTAAGTGGCCTATCGCAAAACTAAATATTTTTACAGAAATATCATTTGAGTGCTACCCTACTTGAACTCAGTTAAATTGTATTTCTAATCACTATGTTAAAAGCCTAAGGATTTGTTATATAGTGCTTTGAGGCAAATTGCTTCTTTATTCTTTTATCTTCTAGTATTGGAGTCTATTATATGTTATCTAGTATTGGAGTCTATTATAAATTAAACACATTTTTGTTTCCCTTATATTTATTTTTAAGGGAGAAGATGGCATACTTCACAAGAGCGAAAATAAGCATACCAGCTCTACCAGCTGATGATGTCTAACAATATTTTGCATCAAAGGTGTTGTTCATTTTTTAAGTGAATGCTTTTATATTATTGTTCTACAATCTTTTAAAGACATATTTTTGAATTCAATTGTAGATATTGTTTATAAAATGCATATACTATGCTCTAATGTAACATTTCAAATGTGCAGACTGTTCCCTTTGTCTTTTCGCTAGAAATATAAAGCAAAATATACACTGATACACCAATGAGTCTAACTTTGTACAGTTTGTATATGTAAAAACAAAGGAAATCCTAGTATGTATGAACTGCACTGCTGCTCTATATCATGCAATGTATCCCATATGTTTCATTTCCCTGCTTATTTTTTTTCACAAGGACAGACTGTGAAAATGGCTGTTGAGCCATCTAATAGGTTTTGCAAAAAAAAAGTGGTAGTAGTAGTAGTTGTAGTATGTACATAGCTTTCAGGAAATGTTGAGTCCTCTTCCATGCCAGCAGGTCTGTTTAGTGCATACAGGTTCTGTTTAGATTTCTGCTGTCTACATGGGAACTTTCATATCTGACAAAAAATCTTTTTCCCTTTCTACCTTTTTTTTTTTCTTGAATGAAGGAAGAGATCTAGAATACTAAGCTGGAATAGTATCCTTTTTGAATGTACTGAATTTGGGGCTGTATTTCAAATCTCACTGTATTTAAGAGCTTGGAGAGAATATGAGGGAAGTATGTATAACCCTCCATGTGTTAAAATTGATAATACCCAAATGGCAGCTGTTTTAGGAAAATGGACTCAAATTCACTTTTAAACCTAAGTATTCAAAGAATGAAAATTAAAACTAATATGTAAATATATCTAGTAAGAGCTTATTAAAATAGTTACATTCATGGAGCCCAAACATCCATTTTCACAAGAATTGTTCTTAACAAATTTATTTCTCTAAGGCAGTGTTTCTCAACCTTGTCAACATTAAGATGCGTGGAGTTCAACTCCCAGAATGTGGGGAAATCTTGGAAATGAATCCCACGCATCTTAAAATTGCCAAAGTTGAGAAACACTGATCTAAGCACCCATTGTATACTATTGTTATAGAGATTTCTTCTAAGAAACCTTGATAATGAGCACTTAAAATAATATTAGTTGGATTAAAATTAAATAGACCATGTAAAATGGTTCCTAAATTAATTATGGCACAATAAGGATTAAACATGATCAATAACCTTAGTTTGTTTAACCAGCAACAGGTTTAATACAAGGTGATTTTTTTTTTAATTGGTTATTCTCCAAAATCAGCTTCTGGCTACAAGTTTACAATAGGTTCTAGGCAAAGTATTTGAAAAGGGTCTATGACAGTTTGCCGCAGCCAACTTGATGCCAACTTGCTATGGACAAGTCACCATGGACAACTCACCTTGGCCAACTCGCTGCAGCCAACTCATTGTGGGACAAGAGTTACACTAATATCAAAGAAATTGTGGAATAGAATCATTAAAGAAAGGATGAAAAAGAACAGACAAAATGAAGTGTGAATGGCAAAAAAAAATTTTTTTAATATTTTTTTTAAATAATTAAATTGAATTGTTAAATGGCAAATTGTCCCGCAGCGAGTTGGCCATAGTAAATTGGCCATGGCGAGTTGGCCATGGTGAGTTGGTTGTGGCGAGATGTCCCATTCTGATTTTAAAAGGTGCTTCACAAAGCACATGTGGGCACATCTGAAATCCCACCCCAAATTGTTCTTTCTCAAATTGCTGAGGAAACTACTGCACATCTTCCAGGAGGCTCAAGTTGGAAGTGGCTGCTTTATCAATCATCCTTCTAGGTAGAGGTACTTTTCTAGCTGACCTTCAGTTATCGTGCATGTATCCACATGTGCAGAGTCTGTGAACATGTTTAAAGTCTAGAAAATCTGTGCCAAAACTTTGGAAGTATCTCTTCAAGGACTTTTGCTTCATTCAGTCCATCAAGGCGTTTTGCATAGCCGTAGTACAGGCACAGGTTTTCTTGGCATCCTCACTTCCCTTGGTAATTCTCATCTGATAACCAGGCACTGATTAGTTTTGATATCATCATCATGGAACACATGGTTATTAACGCCTTGTTTCAGTGGTAATGTCACAGTTTTGTAGAACAGACCAAAGCAAGGCATCTAATTATTTAAGAAGGGATTGAAGAACTAGTAGTGATAAGTGTCTTTACTAAATTTAATCTGCATGCCATACTCCCCACTGACTAAATTAGAACTTCTCAGTTTATAAGAACAGGCTATTTAAACAATGTAACTATTGCTTCCAAGCTATGGAACATAAGATAATGAGAGAATGAAAGTTATTCATGCAGTTTTAAAGCCATTTGATGAAAGTGACATATAGTTCTGTATGTGATACATATTCACATACACACACAAAAAGACCCCGAGGAAACAAAACACTAATTGTGTACTTGTTCATTTTGCAACATAATTGTATATTGACATGCTGTATTTTATTTTTCAAGGATATAATAGTATTGTTGAAAAAAATAGGAGAACATTTACAGTATGTTCATTGCCATCCTTAGAATTACAAAAGGAAATAAATTATTGTGTCTTAATTTATTTTTGTAAATCTCCCAAAGGGTCCTATTATTATGCACAACTATGTGTAATTATTCAGATCTTTTCAATATTGCTTCTACTTGGAAGTAGGAAACTGCTTAATATTTCCTGGGTGCCCCTCTTTTTTTTTAACCCATCTTTTAGAAGTGAACTAAACATGTACATGCCATTTACTCTGTCAAGGTCAATTGTCTAAAAGCTGAAGTCGCAAAGTTATTTAATATAGAAATGAAGGCTGATAATTTCAGCTTCTCAGTTTGACATTACAATATAATAATGTTTTAGAATGATGTATAGAGTTGTATCTTGTGATTTATTTATTTTCAGTCTTATTTATGTACAGTACAGTTTAATATAGTTCAGTTCTGCACGTTTAAATTTGCGGGTTAAAGAAAGCTACTGTGCAAATTGTTTTAGGGACACATACAAATATACTTCCCTCTTTTTCTTCTGAAGTTATGCCACAATATTTAGAGAGAAACAAAAAGAATAATATATTGGCAAGACAAATTTTGTTGGATGTTTATAAAAAGGATCTTCCATCCATGTCTTCTTTCACATACTAAAATTGCAGCAACCTTAACTAATATTTAAGAAAACATTTTGAAGTCCTGGAAGTCTTACACAAAGTCTGTTTAGCATTTGAAACAATTTTGAAAACTGTGATCATAGACAAATACCAGTCAAGTCTCATACTACACTAATATCATTTTTATCATAAAAGTTACCTATCAGAGAATAGAACAAATGTAATAATACCTTGATTATCATTACTTCAGTACAATCCTGCACGTCGTATTACAAGTATTATACAATATTGTTTAGCCAAATGAACAAAGTTAGCAAATCTTTTATTGGATGAAACTAAACTTCAATTTTTATACAGTTATGTTATATTTAAGTATTAAATGCTCAGAACTGAACTCAATATTTAATCAAGTTGTATCACAAATGTCTTCTATCCTAATATTGCCTGTATATGTACACATCACCCAGTTTAACCTTTGTCTCTGCACTTTTCAATTGTTTCAATGATTTGGAAAAATACAGTTTTTTAACAGTAACTTTTGCATGCTTCTATTCTTTACCAATACCAGTTAAATCAAGTTTATGTGATTTGTGCAAATGTTCACATAAAACATTCATTAATAAGACCATGTCATAATGGTGGTCCATTAATCAGCATTATGGATGGGTGGTTTCTTGAGTAACAATGATTATGTAAACTGTACTTATGTGAGGTCCTACACAAACCATAATCCATGACAGTGAATGATTTTTTTTCTGATAACATTTTACATACTAAGATATAATATAAAACTGACTGGATCTGAAACTCTGAAATGCAGCAAGTCCATGCTCTGTTTTCATTTTATATTACTAAATGCAGATTTTCATGGAAACTGAGGTCCATCCCTATTTTCAGAATGGGAAATAGACTTTGTAATACAGAGAAGTCATTTTTAAAAATACATTTTATGACACTGGAAATCTGGATTCTTCAATATTAACAGATATGTATATGATAGATAAGGTAATAATATCTTAAATCTGTTTATATAATACATTGAAACGTGTCTATTTAACTAATAATACAAATCAAACTACATAAATGTAGATTATGCTAAAAAGGAATAGATGTAATTTTCATCCTAAATTTAATTTTAATATACTTGGCAGATTTTTTTTTAGTTTAAAATGATTTAGCTATTGTCAAAAAGACTAACTCTTCTGTGCATTTCTTCTGTGGCCTAACAAAAAGAATTATGATCAATTCTGTGCAGAGAAGTAGAAATCCACTGGTAACCAATGAACAGTGTGTTCCCATATTCCCATCTGACAGCTATCTTTTGAGTAGCCGCCTATCAAATTTCAACAGTGGGCATACTTCAGAGAAATAGAGCACATCAATGCTTATACAACTAGCACTTTTTGTAGCTTTTACTCTTGATGTTCTGTCATCAGACAATTGTCCATTTGTGAAGAGTGTTAAAATTCTGTAAACCTTGACTTCTTTAGGCAAAGCTAAAAGAAAAAAAATGCATTTTACATTATATCCTTTCTTTCCTTTTCGTACTACCCATGTAGCTTTCCAGAGCACCTTCCTTCATTTCATAAACAATAAGGCTATTCTAGCCTTGCAAGCCACTTAATAGGTTTAACAATATTTTCTTATAAAATACCATTAACTTTTCTATTAAGCAATATAATCAGAAGTATACAAGTTTTAGCATTTGTGAATATACTTTGAGTTTGAGGATCAGTGAAGAAATGTTGTGTTATTACTATCTGTAAATAGGTACAGTAAATGTTCTCACATTTAGATTATTTGTTCATTCCAATGATATTTTAATAGAGAAAAATGACAAATCGTGATTTCAAAAGTATTATACTCATAAGATCCATTCTACACTGAAAATACAGTTCAAATATTAATATTTTACTTCTATTTAGGAAACAATAGTCAATCCTTACTTGGATAGATTTAACTATGTAATTGAATTCATATTCATTCAGAAGCAAATCCACAGAGTTTAATAATGTTTTCCTCCAGATAAGTACAAATATAATTAACCTAACACTCTTAAGTTTGTAAATTCAATTATGTAACTTGGAGCTGCTTAATAAAAGACATTACACATTATAAATGGATGGCACAGAAGCAATCCAGTTTTTAAAAGATGTAAACAAAAAAAAAAGAATGCTGTCATCACACAGTAAAATTAATACAGTCTTTCTCAGACTTTAGAAAGTATATTGGGATCATATATATACTTAACACTCAAATATCAACACATAACACAACAGAACCGATTCTTTACAATACCAGTATTTCACATCTAATTAAAATATTTTGTTAGCTATTCCCTTATATCTTAAAAATAGGTAGAGGCAACAGCATACAAATAAGGGGGGAAAACTTGGTGTTTTCCATGCTTTAACATGAATCCTAGTTTGTAGGTAGAACTGGAATCTATTAACCAGTATTGCTAATTGAAGGTTTATTTAAAGATTTTGCTTCATATTTGAATTTGTAGCAGAAAGTTTAAATGACAATAGTCTTTGAATTTTAAGACAGTAGAGAAACAAAAACAGCCATTTTCTGAAAATCAAGTACCAAATTTAGCAGGGTATGATTGTGTAATATGAGGATTCATATTTTTATGACTTATTTGAGCTTTGGGCATTTTTGTTTTTACAGTACATTTTAAGCTGAAGTAGACAAAAATATATGATGACGTTTTCTATAGTCATTTTAATCTACTCTTGTTGTGAAGCCAGCCAGCCTTGTAATAAGAAGGATAAAACTACTCTTGAAATAATAAGTTCAGGAAAAATATTAGAAACTCAAGTGTAATTAATCGAGTAAGGAACAAAGCGTCCTTTAATCTTAATTGGAATAAGGTTCTGCACACTGTGTTTAAGTGCCTGAAAGGAAAAATAGGGTCTCCTGTGTCTCTCAGACTCTTAGACTTCGGGGTCTGTTGTTACTTTCCAAGTGTTGACAAGCATCTAGCACACCTGCCACTGTATAATGGACCGAGGACGATTGAGTATCAACAGAACAGACGCTGCAATTTAGCAATGAGCCTCCAAAAATGAGACAGAATCCAGCAAACCAGCCTATAAAAAGTGCTTCCCCAAAGTCCCACCTCGGAACGATGTCTGGAATAGTTTCATCCCAAAATTCCTGCACAGTGGTATGAGCAACCCAAGACACTGGGACTAAGGCTGCAGCTCCTGATATCCAGCAGAATATTCCTCCCAGCAACAATAACCGCTTCTTTAGATCCTGTTGTTGTTCTCCAATCTTTAAACAATCCAATCCAAAACTTGAGAGTAAGAGACCAGAAAGTCCTAATCCATTGGATATGAACATCAGAATCCTAGAAATTTGGAGCTCAGGGGGTAACGCTAAAAAGGAATCAAATTCTTTGCACTGCATTCCCCCTTCTTCATGGACCACACAAGCTTGCCAGAGTCCCATTGTCCAGATCTCCAATTCATTCAATTCTAAATTGAGATTTTTCCACTGAGGTAAATAAGTAGTGAGGCAGGATAAGACCCATCCTAACAGGCAAAATAAAATCCCTGCTAACTGCATTATGGTTCGGTTCACTAAAGCCATTGTAAAGGATGCAATCAACTGGCTGGAAAATCTTTTGGCCAGGTTTTTTGGAACTTTGACTTTATATAGTGGCTGCAGCTCCAATGATGGTTGCTCTTTGCTCTCCTGAATATAAGCTTTAACTATTAACCCTTTAAGAACTCTGAAACATGTTTTTGTTCTTCCTGAATATAAGGTTTCTTGCAAAGGACGAAGGACTCTGCTTAACCATGAGTTGGGTTTTGTGATAAGGATTTGATCTGTTACCTTTCAATTTGCTTGGTAAAATTATATCCCAATGCCTGATGATTGCAAGTCTGAGGATGAACAAAGAAAGCTCTATGACCCCTCACCTAAAAAAAAACAACAGAAATCTTTGTGCTTCAATACGGATTAATTAGATTTTAAGTGGTGATAAAAAAAACAGGTCTGTCTGCAACAGGACTTCATTGTAATAGCTAAATTTGAGATTTCAGGGCTTCAAATCAAGGCCTTGTAGAGAAAGGCATCCTGTTTTTCTATCTTCCGTACTACTATACTTCCTTAGTTAAATGTATACATTAAGTCTTATCTTTCATTCTCATCATTTTTCTGCAAAGAAAGCTTTGAGATATATTGATTTTCTGTCCTGTCTGAAGTTACTTTTAAATGGGCTTTCTTTACATCTGAGTAGTTCAAGAACAAAAGGTTTGGTGTACTGGTTAAGATGTCGACCTAGAAAGCAGCAGACTATGAGTTTCAGTCCCACCTTAGGCATGAAAAACCAGGGGGGTGACTTTGAGCCAATCACTCTCAGCCCAACTCATATCACAGGTTATTGTTGTGGAGAAGATAGGAAGGAGTATTGGTATGTTTGCTGCTTTGAGCTGTATGTGAAATAATATGCAAGATAAATATCTTTTTCAAAAATAGAAGTTTGAGCTAACAACTGATGTCTAGTAGTACTCAAGAATCTACCATTGACAAAGATTATTCATTAGCAGGTTTTAAATATAAATCTTAGAGATTGAAACAGAGGCATTTGTGACTGTTTGGTAATCCATTTCCTCAACAGGTATAACTAAGGTCTCATTCGTTTATATTACTGTCATAAAAACACCTTAAAACTTTTCTACTAGGAGTGCAAAGAATGAGCTATGCAAATTAGGGCATGCATGCACAACTGATTTTCTTATTTTAATAATATGCTTATACTTGCTAACCCATAGGAAAAGCAGGCTCTTCACCATCAAGAATGTTAACTCAATACAGAGAATGTACTTTAGATTAAGAACTGTGTCATTGCTTTATTTCGTTCTGCAATGGCAGCTAGCAAAAGTGGCTAAAATGGCTTTAAATTCTTCATTTAAAAAAAAACACTCTTTAAGTTTAAAATAAGAGAGGAAGAATTTCACAATTTCCACTTCTTCATAATACTGGCAGTGATAGCAAATTTTGTCCTGTTTGTTGCCCATTCTCTCTTGCGGGGTTGTGGTAGATCTCATAGAAATAGTACTGGGTTTTTTTTTTAGAGTTCATGGTATTGCTCTACTACTGAGTGTAGGATTACAACTAGGTTTCAGTATAATATTTGCATAGTGAAGTTTTAGAATTGTCTTTAAGGAAATTGAATATTTGCCAAGATAGAGATCTTGTTTGATCAAAATCAAACACATTCTCATCACTTCCAGGATAGATTACTGCAATCTACTTAATCTGATGCTGCCTTTGAAGATTATTTGGAAACTGCAATTGGAGCAAAATATTGTGGCCTGCGTTTCTAGTGAGTAAGAGCTACAACAGCTCTAAAACACCAGTAGGCTTTGGAGTACAACTCATAATGCTGGCTCTAGCTATAAGGCCCATCACAGCTTGGCCATCAAACAGTCCAGTTTGTCTCCTGCATATAGACATCTTATGCTCTCATCTTGTGGAGGGATGTTAGACTCAATGCTTCTGCTCTGCAGTGCTGAAAGTGCCTCTTTTCTGAGATTTGGTTAGTGCCCATGCTGATGTCCTTTGGAAAGGATGTAAAGACAATGTAATTCAAGAATTATTTGTTATGGTCACCGATCAGCCCCTGCAGAGATATAGATTATTCTTAACTGATGCAATTGTTTTAACAGTTTTATTTTGTTCTTGTTTTTTATAACCTAATATGTGAACCACTGGGAACCACACAGAACTATAGAAATATTGTAAGTAAATAAATAAATTTATCTAACAGGAGGCAAATGCAAATTAAAAAAACCTTCACCGGTAATGCTGTATCCTGTGTTGTGAACTTCTGAAATTCTGTACAAAATCTGTAGGCTAAAATTATACCTCTAATAATATTAGAAATGTTGGTTTTGCTTGCATTAATTTCGGTACACATTTATTTGTTTTTCTCCTTATATCTAGACTAGCCATTAGAAGTTGTTATCCTAAAAAAGATTCCATTACATAGAATACAACACAATTCTCTTTAAGGTGAGCATAAGAATAATTAGCGTTGTGATTGATCTCTTGGAAATGCTGAGAACATAATACACTCCTATAATAAGAGTTAACTGTGCATTGCCGTGGTTAGCGTGGAAGTCACATGAAGTTGTCTTCAAGTTGAGCTCAATTTCTTACAAATTCACAGGTATGTAAAGTCTTTGTTGCAGCTTGTTTTCTTCTTTGCTTGTTTTCTTCTTTGTTTCTGTTCCTCACTTCTCTTCAAGTCATTGTTATTCTCTTGAGAATATTTAGAATGTACCAGAAGTCTCACTTTTAGATTCTCCACTCTAAATTACATGTTTTGCAACCATTTGGTTTGTCTCCAGCAGCAGCAACCTGGGGTGGAGAAGAAAAAAAAAAAAAAAGACAAGACGATAGCCAAAACTGCACAAACCAAGTCCCATCCTTCTTTTATGTGTTGCTGTATATTACCCTGGTCCCAGAATTGCATGCCTAGGCATCTATTCCTCCCATCATCCTCTCAGTGCCTGTAGCTGCACAAAAATCCTGGCATGTATTGAAGCTAATACCTAGTCTTAAATTTGTAATCAAAAGCTGGAGCCCAGAAAATAGCTTGTAGCTGCTGTGTGCTCCCAAATAACCATGAGATCCTTCCTTGAAAATAAAACTGCTTTGTGTCTGTTTCTTTATCTTTCTCCTTGCTCTAAATTTAAAGCTTCTATTCCACATGGTTTATTATCACTGCCAACACTTGGGTCCTCATGGAGCTCCTCCAAAACGTTCATGTTATTTCTTTAATATTTCCACAGTTTTTCTTTGGAAAATGTTAATTTGCCTGCTTTTATTTTTTTTCCCTGACATTGTCATTATTATCCAATTCACAAGTTCATACTGTATTCTAGGATTACAGAATATTCAACCCTGCTTTGTTCTCTAAGATATCTGTTATGAAATCTGTTATACAATGATTACTCTGAGTAATCACAAGTTAATTTTCTCTAGCTAAAGTATTATATATTCACTTTGCAGAAATGCAGTGTACAATGGACAATATGCCCATCACATCTCTGGGAAAAGGCCTGGTATCCCACATTTATCATGACACGTGAATAAATGTGAATTGCATACATGTAACATATGCTCATCTTTAGCAATATTGAATACTAGTAATGATGTTGAATAACATTGCTGGTGATATGGCTGCTACTTCTGCTGGTGTGGCTACTATTAAATGAAAAATTATTGATGAAATATTGCACAAATATTCAAAATAACTGTTCTATATATTTTATGTGGGTTAGTTATACTTAGTGGTGTGCTGCTAAATGTTCAAAAATCAGCTCTGCTAGCACCATTGCTGCTGCCACACAGCATCACTAAATGAGGAAGAGCTGACTGGCACTCTAGATGTCAAGGCTCAGCTCTGCTCTCAGCAGATTAACAAAATGGCAGAAAATTAACTATCAGCTTTCATGACATAATGAAAGTTGGTCCAGCACACTACTAGTTATATTCGTCGAATATTAAAAAAATCCATTATAGATACCTTCACCACCAGAGGATATGTGGCATTGATATTGCAACAGATAAACCGTTGTCCCTGTTACTTTTTCAGTATAATCCAGCTCTTGTTTTTTAGATCTCTGAAAAAAGAAACAAGCTTCTTTTTTCTGTCAAGGGGGTATTTGGGAAGAGGCTGAGTCAAACTGGGTAGGAGTCAAAGTGGCGTAGGAGGCTAATGCTTCCTACTAAGGCAGGATTTAACATCCAGCTGCCTGCAATTACTGTGAGTTCAATTCTCACCAGGCTCAATGTCGACTCAGCCTTCCATCCTTTCTAAGGTGGGTAAAATGAGGACCCGGTTTGTGGGGGCAATAAACTGACTTTGTATAAAATATACAAAAGTATGAAGGCTATTGCTTAAAGTATTGTAAGCCACCCTGAGTCTCCGGAGAAGGGCGGCATATAAAAATAAATAAATAAATAAATAAACTACCTTGAATGATCATTGCCCCCTGGGTCTTACAGTCTTAAGTGTTAGATCCAATTAATATAACTAAGTTGTAAGTAAATTATCAAATAGGTTTTTTCTTTTTCTTTTTTTAATTTGATTTTTATTATAACATATAGTGATACATTCAATACATTTCCGGTTCATTGGTGCAAATATATACATATATATATCTACATGCATTTTAACTTGTCTTTTATTTGATATTGTTTCTTAAAGCCAAATTTAATTTTAAGACATTTAAGGATAATAGTGCTCCAATCTCTAAGATTAAATGTAATACTGTTCATTTCTCCATGGATTTTGTTGATTAATTAATACTTAATCTCTATACTCTATTTCCTTCTTTATTTCTTTTCCCCATCCATTCATACCACATGTCCCACACCCTATAAAATTCTGAATCTTCTCTGTCATTAATTTCTGAAGTCAATTTGTTCATTTCGGCGCACTCCAGTAGTTTCCCAATAACATGTTCTTGAGGTGGTATTTGTTTTTCTTTCCAATACTGGGCAAAGGAAATTCTAGCAACTGTCAGAATATGTATAATTAAGTACTTTTTCTTTTTTGCATATTCAATTTTCAGAATTCCCAGGAGAAAGGCTTTTGGTTCGAAATCAAAATTTTCTTTTATTATTTCTCTAATCCACATCCATATTATCCTCCAGAATTTTTGTGCCTGATTACAAGTCCACCAGCAGTGATAGAAATCACTGCTGGTGGACTAGAAGAAATGTGCTGATAGTCACATTTCCAACATTTAGGGCTCAAATTGGGTAGATCTTCGCTATCCTAGCTGGGGCCATATGCCATCTATAAAACAGCTTGTATTGGTTTTCCTTGTAAGCTGTCGCCTTTGTCATTTTAAGATTATTATTCCATATTGAATCCCATTTGTTCAGATTTATATTCTGTCTGATATT